GTCCTGTAAAGTTTCCCATCATCCCTATCTCTATGCCACATTGAACTCTTTCTAGTTATATCTTTCTCTGTTTTCCGCTCTGTATCCCATATATATTCACATAGCTATGATCCCTAGTTCCCCACCATTCTGGTCATCTGCATGTGTAGAAGTACACTGTGACTGACTCAGGGATTAGGACGTTCACACAGAGGTGTGGTCTGGATTGGAGGAAGTGGAAGAGTGTTGAGGCACTGCTTCCTGTGGAGGGAGTGGAACATGTGATTGGGGACAGGGACAAGTTGGATTGGACATGGTGTCAGCAATTGGCTTGGGGGTATCTCCTGGGTGCTAGGGGGGCACAGGTTACAGGTAGGGTATACACAGGTTGGTAAGGTATAGGTGGGTAGTCTCTGCAGAAGATTCTTACTTGGCCAGCGGTTTTGATGAGGGAAGGGCACACAAGAATGCTGGGATTGACTTGTGTGGTTGCACAACGGGAACACTGGATTGACCATGTCAATTGGAGGTGGGTGGAGTACGTTCTACTGTGAATCATAGACGTCTGGGGTTGGAATAAAACTAACAAGGGACACTGGCTTTACTGTGTAGATGGGAGTTGGGTGGGACATGTGCTAAATGAATAGACGTCTGGGTGAAACACTGAGTTAAGTGTGCAGATGGATGTATATGCTCTATGTTAGTAGATGTCCGGTACATGCTACTGTGGACAATAGACGTCTGGGTTGGGTAGAACTCTATGGAATTGTTATTGAATGAACAAAGTGGTACCGGCGCTGGGGAAAAAAGGAGTATAAAGGTCCCATCAAAGGATCAAAGACATGAAGATGTTTTTGTGGCTGAAGGCTAGCTAGACCTATGGGTTTTAGGGTGGTGTGGTATAGTAGATAAGAGATGGAACACAAAAAGAGCTCAGAAGCGAAATTCAGGGTGGGAGGGTGTGCCATTGTGGCAGTGGTGGTCTGTGTGTGAGCTTTGTCCAAGTGTACCAAGAGAACACAATGAGTCTTGTAAAGACACAGATCTTCTTCAATGGGACTGGTGGACTATGTCTACTAAACTTATACTGGAATTTTCTGTTGAGCCCCTAGTCGTAAGAGCTGTATTGAGTGTAGCTTTGATAAGAAAACTTGGACTACGGTCAACAAAGATTACAATATTGCTCAATAGTGTAGTTTGGGGGCTCAAGTATGGGTAAAGCGATTGGTAGCAGCTGTGCAATGGATGGGAGAGGGAGTGAGATGATAAAAGGAGAGGGGGGTAAGGACCGCCGGTGAGGAGAGAAAGTCTCCTCCTGCCGATCCTTTCATACATTGCAAAAGCTATCAAATATGGATGGTGCTGGGTCACACCGTTCCTATGTATGTGAATACGACATAATTCTATACACACAAAAGAGGAGAAGCAAGCAAATATATCACACGGAAGACAAGGAGGGTGTTCAATAGCAAAGAGGATGAGTTTTGTTGCACTCTGCTGCTGTGGATAGGTAGCCTTGCGGAGAGTCACTGGTGAAGACGGTTGAGATGTTGACTGGTGATAATCAAGGTCAGTCACTTCCTTTTTTGTGAAGAGCTGTTGCCAATGTGTCACACTTAGTAAATCCCTCAGGTGGCATCAGCACCAAGTTTTGTGGATGGTTGAAGGACTCTCAGTGTACATACTCAATTCATATATCTTATTCTACTCTTTCCATGCAATAATACTGAACAGGTCTTTTCCCCTCTTCAAACCCTTTTCCAGCCACTTCCCTGCCGCGTTCCAGCTAGGTTTTGAGATAATGTCCCTTCTACCTATAAGTTGTTAGAATGGTGATGCCAGGACAAAGTTGGCAATGTGCGGAGAAACGGAGAACAGGATCAAATTGTGTAGCCGTTGTAGATAGCGCCTGGTAACTGGGATTCTCCTCTCTCATCTGACCATAGTTGGAGTGAGACTGAGACCAGTACCAGCCACAATTCAACATAAGGGCATCACTTTCAGCACCATATATAATATTGCAACAGATGTCTGGCATTCACTCCTGAGGGATGAAGAGTGCTTTGACAGAGGGTGACAATGCTCTTTTAATTGAGGGGATGCTCAGTCATCAATGGGAAGGAACCCAAATTCTTTTAGGTAAGTCTCTCCGCACCCAAACAATATTTTCTATCATATCATTAGGTCTATATGTCACATGGTGTTGCTTCAACTCACACAAAACTGCCACTTCGATCCAGCTACCCCCAAGATTTTGATAACGCCGTTCTCAAATCTGTAAAGACCATTATCTGTTCACACCCTCCGCCTTTGTCACACGTAGTAATTCCCTGAAGTGGCATTGGCGCTGAGTTGTGTGGATGGTTGAAGGACGTGCGATGTACATACTCAATTCATATCTCATTGTCTACTCTTTCCTTATGCGATAATACCAAAAAGGTCTTTTCCCCTCTAAAATCACCTTTTCCAGTCACTTCCCTGCTGCGTCCCAGCTGGGCTGTGACAGCCTTACGCTCTTTCACCCTTATGATCTTCCATTCTCAAACGCTCTACCTTCCTCTCTCATTCTTCCATCTCCTCATATCCTTCAATACCAACGCACACTTTTTTGGTACAGTGAGTAAGATCTTCAAGACCGCTACTGGGTTTCTGCTAATCCTACCCAGCAACAAGTGTCCATGACTTCCGCCATAGGCAAATGCCTGTCATTGACAACAAGGTATCTACTGTGAAGAACGCAGCTGCAAAGGAACATTCAATCACTTGGACCTTCTAACCACTGCAAGAGGTCATTAACCGCTGCAAAAGGTCACCATTCCAGCCTGACTGGAAGGGTATTTGCAGCTCATGTACAATGCAGTAGTGGCTCCATAGCTCTGTTACACGCACCATGAAAGCCACCATCCGTCTCTAGCATGAGCATAGTATGATTCAGCCGCAGCACATATGCTGAATAATCAAGTGGGAGATTGGAAAAGCAGGTGGCAACAGACAAAAGTGTTGGAAACCGTTGATGAGGCTGTAAAGGTATGAAAGGGCCACTTCATAGACAGCTAGAACCTCATCGATGTTATTTCATAAAAGCCCAGCTTAAAACCTCAAAAGTCTTAAGCCTTGTCCGGTACAGTAGTCTAGCATAACACATATAGTCTCTTAACCTGTCAACACTGACAACAAGACATACCCAAGTTGTCCATCCACTAGGGACCTTTACACCTTATTCTGTGTGGAGCACAGATATATACTTAGCCTTGCAAAGGCACTCTCTTGGCCCCAATTTTCTGGAAAATTCATTTCCCCATAGCTTCTTACACGCTCATCCTACAGCTGAACCAATACCCCCACCCCCATCAGTGCCACTATCACTACACAACGGTGTTTTTGAGTTTATTTATGCATGAAGGTGCAACCTGTTTGGATGCCATTTGTACATTTGTACTCAAAGCCCCCCGCGTCCGTGCATTTCAAGCCATTTTTCTAACGCTCTGCACGGTAATCTGGACCTAGACCTTATGATCCATACAGCTTGTAGAATCTCTTTGTCCATTGGTGCAAGTATACCAGGCAATATCATGTTGGCTGGCTCCTATGCCGCCGGGTTATGTTATCCGGTGCAGTCCAAGCTGGCTGACTCGCTGTTTAGCCACAATGCCAGGCTCATGTGCCGCTGTGCATACATTGCTTTTAAATGAGCTCCATGGGTCAGGACCTGAGATCAATGCTGTGATATGATTCTCGTCCTAGGTCCTGACATCCACTTGTTGACAAGTGTTGAATCAACCTTGCATATATATCTAGCAAGTGAAAGATCTCATTGTCTTTCCAGCAGTCTTAGCAGCAGAGTCTTACTAGGACCGGTCACAACAGTGTTACAAGAATGAATGCTGACTCCTGGAAGATAGAACTATCTTAGAAGGGAAGGTTCTTGTTGAGTGATTTCATGTGGGATGTTGTGTAGTGTGCTAGGCGCCTGCACGCCCCATGGACTCTTTTTAGCTTTGCTTGCCTCCGCCTTTGCTTTGTCTTCGCTTCCGTTACTCGTTTTTGTTCTCTTCCTCTCTTTTAGTAAGGCTGTCTGATGCATGTCGACATGCCCATATTCGCTACCCTTAGCTCCTTCCGCACGTCTCTTATTTCTTATTGTCCTTAACCTTTTGTATGCTTTGCTGGTTGACTTGTACCTTTATTTGCTTTGTGCCGTAGTCATATCACACAGTCGCTCTGTCTATTGTCTCGTCATTCCTTCATGTATATAAAAAAGGCTGGGTGTTGGGACAGAGACCTCAAAGACAACTCTTTGACTCTCTTTGACTCTCTTCTCTCCCCTCCTCTTCTTCTTCAACCTCTACTACTCCTTCCAAGACCACATCCAAGCACATCTGTGTCTTCCTCTTCACATACTTGGACTTAACCCGCAATTACACATGGTGATAACTTCAGCTGTCCCCCCAGAGCAGGCCTGATCACCACACATTGGGTCATTTTTATTCTCTCTTGGCTACTGAGCCATACATCTGTTCAAGAGGTGAGATCTCCAGAAATAGAGTATTGGTGTTTGCTCTGAGGGTGCTAAAGGGGTAACAGTCATAGAAGGGGCTGGAATAACAACGAACATCCAAACAATCCAAAGGAAAACAGGCCTGTGTAGTTCTCTACATCATCCTCAGCTTGCAATTGACTTTAGACAGTGTTGAAAGCTGGAGTGTGATGTGGCATCTATAGTAGGGCTAATCACCATACTTTTTGCTGTATGACAATGCTTGATAATACATAACACCAGAAGGGATAGATTGACCATGCTCAGATAGGTAACCTCAGCATTGACCAGATACTGTGACATAGACCCACTGTATCTGTGGATATCAAACTGTTGGACTTGATTCCACTCTTTGATAAAATACTAGTACCAATCTGACCAACTATGAAGTATGGTTCTTGGTTGCCTGTACTGTAAATCCTGCTGTTGAATTTACTTCCCTGTTGTGGCTGGGTAATCAGATTGTGTGTCCCCAGTAACTAGAATCCCTTGCATGAATCATAAGGCTGGGCACTGGGATTGAAACTTCCCCTTGACCCTATTACCTCTTCTTCCTCCCTCACTTTGACTCCTCCTCCTGGACCTTCACCAAATACACCAAGGTCTCCCTGCCCAAGCACTTGGGCTTAGCCCACAACAACACTAGGTGGGGACTTTAGCTTTCTCTTCAAAGCAGACCTGGTTGCCGTTGTGTGATCTTTGACTCAAGAACATAATGAGTTGTATGATGCCAGGTGACATAGATATGCATGGACATACTTCAGATCAGAAGCCAAGGTCTTGCAGTCCAGAATTCATCTTTGATGATATCTAGATGCAGCACAACAGCCTTCCCATCTACTCCCAGAAACTGCTTGGCCTGCTTGCCCTTAGCAGATGTCTTTTTCGGCAAGTCTGTGCACTCTGCAGCATGTGAAACACCATTGTCCACCATAGCTGTTGAGCCACACTCCCCATATTCTCTAGATGACTTCCGTACACATACACTCCCTTTTCTGAAAGCCTCAGGAAGGTTGTTGTAATTGATTTGGAATCTTGTGAATAATATCTCGTTTTTGTCTTTGGAGGTTGTGCCCTGGGAACGACTAGTCAGCTTATTGGATTGAGTGACCGCATGCCCACATACTTGTAATATTCTATTTGATTCAGTTGTAGAGCATCCACCATGGACCAAAGCCCAGAAAGTGGTGTTGTACAGGTTGTTGATGTGTGCTGATGTATTGTTAGCAGACTGACAAACGAGCAGCAGCAGGTATAGACATACTATCGGCTTGTCTCCAACTGAAATAATCCCTGACTTCTCTTGCAGAGGGATACATCACTGCCCGGCCATCAAAAGTTGGTGGATATTTCAGTGTGGTTTCGGGAAAGAACCGTTGCCAGTGGAAGACATATGCGGAGGTAAACAGAGAAACAATGGATGAATTGATCTTGCTGAGAGTTGGTGCTCAGCGCCGCATTGAGACAGCTGTACTGGGCTCACCTGCGCCGTCTGTTGTACAGCTTGGCTTCCCGACGTAGCAAAAAACTAGACTCAAACTCAGCGCCAGCCTCACAGACCATCCGTTCTTGTTATACGCACCTATATTCGTCGCTCTCGCCGAAAGCCATGACTACATCCTTGTATTCTTCCAGCACTGCTTGGGCTGCTGCATCCATAAGGTCGAGGGCCCTTTTGTCATTCGGTTTGCTGAACTCATGCACATCTGAGAATCTGTATGATTGTTGCTGAATCAGAATCAGATTGCAAGCACTTCGAGAGATCAGGCGTACTTGTGAAACCCCTTGCCGTCAACACGAACAACGATGAAAGTATTAGGGGTCAGAGGATCGGGGAGCTCGTAGTTTCTGACGTATTCGAACCGTGATTTAGCCATGGTGTTGGCGAAGGATGGAAGTAGACAAATGCAGACCAGGATCTGTCTGTAGCATCATAATCAGGCGGAACCGAGAAAACAACAATATGTATTACGTAACTCGAGATTCTTCATGAAGCTGCTGCTGGCTCCTCTAACTTTTCTTGTGTTGCGCACTATCCCTCACACCCATTTCGCCGTCAGCAGCCATGTCCTGCTTCCTCGCCGGGCAGCGCCGCCTCAACCCCTCCATCGTCTCCAAGGCCCTCACCCAGACGCGAACCAAAACACACCGCGCGTCACCGTCTTCCCTCTGGCTGTCGCGCAACCATCTTAAACTCCAACCCACTGTCCCCCCTCCCTTGCCTCCTTCCTATCCCATGCGCGTCATCCTCTCAGACGGCTCTGTAATTACCGCATACACCACTGCCCCTACCCCCTCCACAAAGAAACTCACACGAGATGTGAATAACAACCCTCTATGGTCACCTGCGACTGAGAAGAAGGGCTTGGGTGAGGGCGACGAGGGCAGAGTTGGAAAGTTTAGAAACAAGTTCAAGGGACTTGGCGGGGATATTGTGGGAGGGCTGGATAGTCAGGATGAGGTGGCGGGCGCAGCGGGTGGCTTTGCTCTGGAGGATCTGGATTGGATGAGTGAGGGTGCCGAGGAAGAGAAGCTGTCAGAAAAGCAAAGAAATCCCGTCAAGGCGAAAGGAAAGAAAGGGAAGAAGTAGAGGGAGCATGCGTGAAGTGTCTTTTCATAGGCAAGGTCAGGAGCCTTGCAATATCAATCTGCATAGTTCCGATTGGCAGGCAGTCCCACCAAAGCTTGTTTGCACATCTCCAGTGTACAGCTGCATGACTCTACTTCCAGTGTGCTGTACTTGTGCAGTATCTCGAGTATTCGTTTCGCAACAACGCATCACAGAACTTCATCAGGGTTTCGAACATGATCCACCAGCACCTTGTTCATCCTATATGGCGGCATCAGACATAGCAATAGGAGATCGTAAATGAGAGAGCCAAGGAACTCACGTAAACATGTGCAAGCGCTCAGTATGAAACACCCTGCTCAATTTCTCATCGCACAGGATGTACCTCCTGTCTTTGGGATCCTGTAGATCGCGTTCCTTGACATATTCCCAGATATGTTTGACAACTTGGGGCCTTGATAGTCTGCTTGTGCCAACCAGATCGGACAAAGGTTCACTCCACAAAGATGTCAGAAAAGACCGTTGAGAGCAGCGCACAGCCGAGCTCACCTGAGAATCAACTCCTTGTTGAAAGCACCGCCCCCGCCTCCGCCTCGCCGACTTTTTTTGGAAATTTCGTCCGCGCTGCCACTGCCTTCTCCGTCGCTATCCACCCTAGCTTTACTTATGACCTTCCTCTTCTTGACGGGTTTGGAACTCTTACCGACCGTTGATCTCCGCGGTCTCCCATTTCCGGTATACTCTTCTTGTAACCGCCTAGCCATTTGCTCATCTGTCTCATCATCTGGTGAGGTTGTCCGATACCGTTTGGGAGGATTGGGTTTGGACAATGGCTGCTGAGAGGGTGGGAGATTGCCCGAAGATGATGAAGGCTCTTGAGGGGAGGGAGGCGAGGGAGGCGAGATTTCAGGCCAGTTGCTAGTCAGGATGTCATATATCTCGCTGATCTGTAGCAGACGCTGTCAGACTACTCATCAAAGCCAACAGCTTGATCGACTTGCCTTTTGGTCAAGGTCTGAGCGCGCGTTCTTTATCGCCGCTGCGTCTTCGCCCTCCGCGATCAGCTGTTTACGTATACCTTTTGCGGAACTGCATAGTAGATCAGCGTTGCCGAGGCCTGAATGGTGAGTCTGAATCACACTGTGGCAAGATCGCTGCTTTCGAGTATCTCTCGGATGCGGGCCGAGAGGCGTTTGACAATCTGGGGCGTGACGTGTGAGCAGGACACGGGATGGGGTGATTTCCAACAGACCTCTTGCTGAGCCATAGCGGGAAGTGAGTCTTGGATTGACAGATGGCAGGGATGTGGGCTAGAAGTAGAAGCAGGCCAGGTTCGCGGAAAACACCACACGCAGAGACCGACGGTACTACAGTAGAGTACTCGTAGTGAGTGGATGGTGGTCACCGCGCGGGATTAAATTGTGCCCGTGCCAGCCCCCGCCCCCGTGCAGTGAATCGTCAAGTCTCAAGTGAAAGATGCTGCTGATAATGGCTCGTTTCTCCAAACACACATGCAATACAGGCCTCCGCTCGACTACTTGGGCTCATGAAGTCTTGTGCATGGATACAAAAATGAGGTATGACGACGGCTGGACGGATATCGCTGGTCACAGGAAGAAAGTCCTTCGGGAGACCTCCATTTTGGGCTATCGAAAGGTCATGAGCGGAAGCACCAACAGGAGAGCACCTCTGTACGTACCTTCCACTTCCATTCGTACTCTTGCTCTTCGTCCAATGCGGGAACCTTGACCCCCTTTTGCTGGCTAGCCTTCGCGGAGGGTTGTCCGATCTCCTTCATGGCCTCATCTTCGTCGTCCTGTTCCTTTTTATCGATTGCCGCTTGGTCTATGTCTTCCCCGTCAGAGTCAGAGTCAAGGTCTGCCTCATGATCGCCTCCTGTTGGTGCCCGTCCGTCAGGCGCCGTTACTGCTGGCAAACCGTTGCGCAGCCAACGGAGCTTCAACGTGAAACGAGGGCCGATTTCCTGCAACTTTGCCGACGTGGCTGAGGAAAACATGTATCTAGAGATTCGTGTATATAAGCCATAGTCCTTGGAAGTGACGGGATACGCACCTATGACGACGGAAGAAGAGGAAGTCCCGCTGGTTATGCAATGTTACAACCTGACGGCCACGGAATTGAGGCTGAGGTGGGAACAGAGACCCAAACACTCTACCAACGCTGTTACCGAGAAGAGTGGTGAAATTGTTCAGGATCAATTCAGCTGCAGTCAAGTCAGCAAAAGATCGATAGGTTGTGGCTCTGGCATACGAGAATGGGGTGTTGGGCGGGCATGGCCCTGCGGAATGTAAGCAGGCATCAATGCTCACGCCACACGATACGTACAATCAGATTAGCGGTAGGGATGACACTGGTCAGCTTGAAATAAGCTGTGGGGCCAGCAGGAAGGTTGATTAAAGTGATAGCGTCTATTGTAGTGTTGTTAGCCGGCGGCAACATGGAAAACTTGGTGTTGGACTTACTTGGCGACTTGTGGTCCTCGTTGACAACTATCAGAGCACCGTAGCCACGCTTTCCAGCCCACCTCGCGACTCTCCCTATCTCATAACCTCTTCCCTTGGGTCTCTTGAAAAACTCGCCACCTGGAAAGACGTTCTTCAAATCATCGCAGAACTGATACGTGTACTTGCAAGGAGATGGTGAAGTAGTGATAAGGATACGAGGAGGGGGGAGGGGGGCAGAGGGATCATTTGTGTCAGTGGCATCGGCGCTTTTTGTGTCTGCGCCGTCGTCGCTGTCGTGTTGACCGCCTTGTTCTCCTTCAGCCTTGTCCTGTTCCGGATGTCGGTGACGAGAGGGACCAGCCTCTGGCATACTCTCGTTGTCCGAATCACTGTCGTTGTCTTGATCTCCAGTTGACCCTTGCCCATTCACGATTCGGCTTGCCTCCTCGGCTTTTCTTTCCAGCTCTCTCAATGTAGCCGGGTTGGCGGTGAGATATGAGCTCGAGTCGAAAACACGGGTGTTGTCAAGAGTAATTGGGATATTCTTGGCCAGCCTCTCAGCCTTCAAAGCTGCGCCGTTCACTTTGTCCTTCTCCGCCTTCTTGATCTGTTGAAAAAGGGTCAGCAGGGGTGTGGCTGAGGGATTACTTGCGACTGACCTCAAGGCGACGCTGGAGCTTGGACTGCTCCTTCTCTCGCTTTGCCTTCTTGTGGACGTCGGCGCGCTTGAAGGCATTCTTGATTTTGTTCTCCTTTGGCATGTCCAAGGCGTGTGCTGGGGTAGTGACGGGCAGTGACTGATTCAGATAGGCCTTTGGTCCAGTACGCTGCTACGACGGTGCGTCAAATTTTTGGTGCCGCCGCGGCGGACGGAGATGCACATGCATGATTGTAAACAACACTGCATTACGTAAGTAACGCGTCGTCGCGTGGGAGGTCCAGTCAACCGCTCACAACAAAATTGCTCGTCGTCCACAGGCTCACCCTCCATCGCGCTGGCCTTCCACGATGCCTATCGTGACACCCGCCGCCAGGTCTGGCAAAGGCTCGTCGTTCTCACGAGTCAACTCGTTCAAGCGCGACTGGGGAGACGACCAGGCTGCGTCAGACGCAATCCCTTGGAGCTCCAGCCCAGATGTGTGAGTCATGTACTCTGCTTGATGCGCATTGACGTGCTCATGGGTCACACTGTCAGCCGAAAGCACGATACCACAGCGACAACCACGGCCACAGCCACAGAGACTGCCGCCTCGGCAAATGCTGCCGTTGCTGAAACGGCGTCACAGCGGAGAAGACGAGCAATTCTTGCTGCCTTGAACGCCGACAATACCTATGCACCTTCAGAAATCTCAATGGGTTTGTCCAAAGCAATTGCCTCTCAACCGGGACACCTTGCCCCTCCTCACTCATCTGCAAATTTGGATGCCACCTCGCGTGCCCTGCCGGGACCATTCGACGGAAAGGCTGGCGCGGACCGTTTCTATCAGCCAAAGCGGCCTCTGCCCTGGGAAGAAGAGAGCTCGTGAGCCACCAATTCAATCCATCGAATGTCGTAGCCGCGCTGAAACAACTACTAAGCTCTTCCAAAAAAGCTATGACCACCATCACTCAGCCGACACTCGTCAGCAAAGTACAACCTAAGCTGAAAGGTTCCTCATCTATGACTATCAAGCAGCAAGTCGTATTGAGCGACGAGCAGAAGAAGGTCTTGATGCTTGTCAAGGAAGGCAAGAATATATTCTATACTGGTAGTGCTGGTAGGTCATGATCACATCTATACCAGTGAAATCCGGCTGACACCATTGGAGGTACGGGAAAATCAGTTCTACTCCGAGAAATCATCACGACGCTGCGATCGAAATATGTCAGGACCCCCGAGGCAGTCGCCGTCACCGCTTCGACTGGCATTGCTGCCTGTAATATTGGCGGTGTGACTCTGCACTCTTTCGGCGGCGTCGGTCTGGCCACTGACCCAGCTGAGGTGCTTGTGCGAAGGCTGCGCAAGAACCCCAAAGCTACGGCGAGATGGATGAAGACCAAGGTGCTTATCGTCGATGAAGGTGAATTTCGACGGCAACTTTTATCGCATCGAGGGTCTGACGCTGACTCTGTCAATTAGTGTCCATGGTGGACGGGGACATGTTTGACAAGTTTTGCAAGCTCGGACAACTGATGCGCAAGAACACAAAGCCTTGGGGAGGGATCCAGATCATCGTTACTGGAGACTTTTTCCAGCTTCCCCCAGTCACCAATGGCGGACAGCCGAAATTCGCCTTCGAAGCCGAAATGTGGAACGAAACCATTCCCATTTCTGTCAATTTGAGCCAAGTCTTCCGTCAAAAAGACCCTCGTATGTGATTTGCAGCTCTCGATTTGAGAACCAAGGCTGACATATATGCGCCAGGATTCGTGGATATGCTCAACGAGATGAGATTTGGCCGATTGACATCTGCATCCATCGACACTTTCAAATCTCTCGCTCGTCCAGTCAAGTACTCCGATGGCATCGAGCCAACCAGCCTATTCCCTCGTCGTGAAGAGGTCGAGCGCGCCAATCTGTATCGGCTAAACCAGCTTCATACAGAAGGCCACACTTATATCTCTGTTGACGGCGGTAAACTTGAAGGAGCTCAAAGAGACAAGCTGCTGTCAAATTTCATGGCACCCAAGACCATTGAGCTGAAAGTCGACGCTCAAGTGATGTTGATCAAGAACCTCGACGAGACACTAGCCAATGGCTCCATGGGCAGAATCATTGGCTTCTGTTACAGGCCATTCTTCTTAGAAGAAGCTGGAAGGTGGGCGCCAGATGCCGAGTTCCGACATATGGACGAGAGTGAAAGAAAGCGCGCGATCGCACTTCGAGATGGGTCGCTGGAGAAATACAAAGCCAGTGGCTCGCCCCCTTTGCCTGTTGTTCGTTTCAAAGTACCAGGAGGCGGTACCCGCGATGTGCTCATCGAGCATGACGTCTTCAAGTCAGATCTGCCTAACGGGGAAACTCAAGCACAACGCACACAAGTAAGCATTCATATTCATACAGGGAACATTCGCTGATGTCTGGACAAAGCTCCCAATCATTCTCTCCTGGGCGATGTCTATCCACAAGTCACAGGGCCAGACTCTTGACAGGGTGAAAGTCGACTTGGGAAAAGTGTTTGAGAAAGGCCAGGCTTATGTAGCGCTTTCCCGTGCAACCTCTTTGGAAGGGTTGGAGGTGAGAGGGTTTAGTGCCGACAAGGTATGTGTGACTCTTTTTTTGACAAGCCGTAAGCTAACGTTTTTGCAGGTCATGGCTCACAAAAAGGTTGCAATCTGGTCAAGCACTCTGAAAGATCTCAATGTATTGTAACGCGTAGAGTGTACTCGAATATACTTAATTTTACCGAGTGGTCCCTCCCCTTGTACAGTTATGATCCGTTATGCCCTTATCTTATGTACGACCCGATATTTTGTGCACATCAATCGATTGCCCGCTCTCCTTCACAGACATGCATATATCTCTCTGGGCCTGAACAGAACAGTGATGTGCAGAACATGCCGGCGCAGGAAGGATTGCGGTGGAGGACGGCATGATGCCAGCTGCGGCGGGCGGCGCTGGACTGCGCGATTTTTCCCTCGATGTTCCACATTGTAGCTCGTCTTGCACTTGTTATTTCTGTTTCCTTTTACCCACTACCACTTCCGCCGCCTTACGCTCGATCCTTCACACCCCGCTTGCCATCTCCTGCCCATCGGCAATCCTCCCATCACCATCCTCGCCACAACAACGACCGCCCACCCCCACTCCCTTGACATTCGCCATGATTCTTCCCGAAGATATCAAGGGTCCATTGCCTTCAGATGAAGATGATTTCGAAGGCGACTTTGCCTCCCTTCCCCCTTCCCCCACCACCTTCCCCTCTGCCCTTCCCCCTTCCTGGCATCTCACCTACGACTACCCTCCATCCCCCAATTCGACAGCCACACAACCCCTTCTCTTACTCGGCGATGATGACATAGAGCTTGGTCCAGCACCGCCCTATACCGAAGTAGACCCACGGCCACGCTCCTCTTCCAGAAGGGATCGCAAAGGCGCGCTACGAAAGAAGATTGAGAAGAGATTTGTCCTTGGATTGGTCGGTGGAGTCGGGCTGTGGATAGGCATCATGTGTATGGGTGCCATCATAGGGTGGGGCCATGGACCCAGGGTACCTCGCAGAGGCACTTTCCATCCACCACGACCCGGGCACCCCGAGCCTTCACCCGGAGACAATCCTGGAGGTGGCCGGCCAATTCAATGTGCTTCCTTGCCTTCCTCCGGTTGGTCACCATACATTGCGCCATTGGGGTCATCAGATCCCTCTGACAGCGGGCTTGTTGGCGGTGACATGGAAAAGCAAAGTCTGAACACGACAATCTTCATTCCTTTGGATCAGGGAGAAATCTTCGCTCAGATGTTTAAAGGGCCAGCCGCTGTCGGGGCTGTCTTTCTCTCAACCTACGAGGCTTCATCGAATGAGGTATGGGAGAGCATGTCAGAAGAAAGAGCCATCGTTGGAGAAGACAGAAGGGGCAAAAGGCCCGGGAAAGGAGAATTTGTAAAAGTTGTCGTGGAGAGCATCATCGATGTGAAAGCAGACATCGCAGGCCCGCTCGACAGTGAGAACAGCCCGGGATGGGAAATGCTCTCAGTGTCCAACATCTGCCTATCCGAGCGAGGTAACGACACCGCGCAACGTCCCTTCCGACGAGACTCGGAGGGTGAACAAAACCCACATCTTCCTCCAAAACTATATGATAGAGGAATCGGAGTTTCCATCGCCACCACACATCCTGTCAACCCGCTGCACGAGAAGTTGCAAGGGACCCCTCTACAGTTCCGGGTTTATCTATCCCTTCCCTCTTTCACCGAATCCGCTCCTCTTGTGAACTCCTTTGTGGAGTCCATATCCATGCGCCCCCCTCCCCCACCTGGTTTTATCTCGTCGCTGGACGTGCATGTGGGCAATGCTCCCATTTATCTGGGGGACCTGCGTTCTGTCACGATGGAACAGATATATCTCGAAAGTGATTTCGGAGAGATTCACGTGGAGGATTTGAGATCAGATACGGTCAAGATCCGGACTACCGGCGAGATCACAGGACATATCTCTGTCTCGAATGATTTGTCTGTGGAAACACCCATGTGAGTGCGACTGCTTTGGAGGTAGAAAGTGCGCTTATATGGTTCAGTGGCCCTGTCCGCTTAAACATATCTTTGTCTACGCCTTCCCCTCACAGTCTAGTACACCCCGCGATGTCCCCTGTATCCCCTAGCAGCAATGACAAATCAGTCAAGGAAAGAGAGCTTACCGGCTATCGAAAAGATGATCCTTGCTCTTTACCTCCGGTGCGCGTAGACCTACGAGCGGGGAGCGAGGACGCGGTGCTGCGTTACGTGGGCTGGGAAGTACCTTGCCGAGGCCTGGACATGGATGTGAGGTCCATCGTCGGTGGTGTTGATGGTAAGCTTTGGCATCTATGATCTTGATCTGGCGGCTTATACTTTGTGACCTAGTTCATTCACATCCTCTTTTCCAAGGTCCCTTTCACCTTGTCACTGCCAATGGTCCTGTCAACGTTGATCTCGGCGATCCGGACATCCCTGATCCGGAAGGCCTAGGACGTTGGCGAAACATCACGTTGGAGGAAAGGGGTCGAGTCGGGTCCAGTTTCTACCACGGATCTGTCTACTGGGAGAAGCAGAGGGAAAGAGAAAAGGCCGAAAGCAGGTCAGAGATACCCAGTGAGGAGATATCAGGGTCTGGCTTGATCAAAGATTCGCCACCTCCATACGACGGGCCCAGGGGCAGAGGGATGCATGTCAGGACCAGCGTGGGGGCTATCAATGTTGTATTCTAGGGGTACAGATCTAGATTTATACTGTTGATCGTTTCACATTGTATGTATGTACATAATGCCGTGCTGCTTTTCAGTCCGCTGCGTATATATGGCTGCTTTGAACAGGCTTGGAGAAAATCCCTGCCACAACGACTATGGCGGCGGGGGCCGCTCTCCGGTTGGCCGGCCCGTGCGATGTCGGAGGCGCGGACCGAGAGGAGCTCTCTGAGGAAGTGCTTGCAGACGGACTGGCGATTGACTGGCGATCCATCTCCCTGCGTTCGTAACTCTCGTATAAAGACAGCACAATCGTGTTCCCATCCGTTTCCCACCCATCTATCAGAATGTCCCCCAAGCCCCAGGTCATCATCGCAGGCGAGTCCCGCCCCGTCTGCCCTTCTCTTGCTCACACCAGCGCAGCCAACCCCAAGACTGGTCTCGTCTGGTCCAAAGAAGAACAAGCCTCCAAGCTTGGTCGAGTCGCGGACGTGCTTGTGAGTTTGCTTAATGTTCTCGCTAAAGACGACCGTCTAACCACTTTGTAGGAGCTCACGTCGCCCGACCGTGCCTCGTTCTTCAAAGACCTTGCCCCCGGTGGCCGGTACGGCAGTATCGTTGGTATCTACCGCCATAACGATTCCGTTTCAGCTATAGGGCTCTTTGACAAGGAGCTCATCAACAAGCTCCCCTCCACTCTCAAATACATCTGTCATAACGGTGCCGGGTACGATCAAAGTGAGTGACTCGAGGCTGGAGCCGTTTCCGAGACGAGGCCAAAGCTAACAGCGATGGCAGTCGACGTCGAAGCCTGTACCGCTAGGGGCATTCAAGTGTCACACACACCTCAGGCTGTTGACGAGGCCACAGCGACCGTCGGAGCTTTCCTTGCCATCTCTGCCATACGTCAATTCTGGCGTGCTGAAGTCAATGTCCGATCCGGCCAGTGGAAGGCTGGTCTGGCCCCTGCTCGTGACCCCGAAGGAAAGACTTTGGGCATCGTGGGCATGGGAGGCATCGGATCTGCTCTTGCCAGAAGACTACTGGCTTTCGACATGAAGGTCATCTACTACAACCGAAGGCCAATCCAGCCTGCTCCCGACTTTCCCTGTACCTATGTCAGCACTCTGGACGAGCTTCTGAAGCAATCGGACGTGGTCTCTCTCAATCTTCCTCTGAACGAGAAGACGAAGAGCAGTTTTGGAAGGCGCGAATTTGGATTGATGAAGGACGGGAGTGTCTTGGTGAATACTGCTCGAGGAGCTGTTGTTGACGAAGAGGCTTTGATCGAAGCTCTGGAAAGCGGCAAGGTGGGTCCATTCGAGATTTGTTTATCTGTTCGGTCCCCTGATGATCATTTCAGCTCGCCAGTGCCGGTATCGATGTCTTCCCCGATGAGCCCAATGTCAACCCCAAGCTTGTGGCTATGGACAATATCACCCTGCTACCTCACATGGGGACTGAAACGCGCGATACGCAAAAGAAGGTAAGAGGCCCCAAGAAGCTGAAAGATGTATATTGACCTAAAGCAGATGGAAATCCTCGTACTGGATAATCTCGTATCCGCCCTTGAAGGGAAGGGACTGCTGAACCAGGTGGCTGAACAAAAGTCGTAGATCAGCGCCGGGAGATGTCCTTGCATGAATACGTGTGCTCTATTATCGATTTCCATTCTTGATGTGATAGCTCTCGTTGATCATCATGTACATGTTTGCTATTTGATGACTGTACTGTACAACTAATATTGACATATGATAAAACAAGATGAGACTGTACAAAATGCTGCCTGAAAGCTTAGTCGAGTGTTTTGCGCTTGGCCTCCCACACCCTTCGTTCATCTTCCTCTTCGTCCATCAGACCCAGCACCAGATCGTCAGGTCCACCATCCTCCTCGACCGCTCTCTTGTACTCCTCTTCCCATTTGTCGCCCCAACCACTTTCCCCGTCGGAGAGATCTGCCTTTGGTGGCGGAAGTGCACTGCTGGATGGTGGGGTAGAGGCAGAGCCAGAATTGGAAGCAGATGCGGAAGTCGACAGCGATCGAGATAGCTGTAGCTCAGGTGCAGCCCCATCCGCTTTCTCACCATCTTTGTCATATGCTGCGAACACCGCGTCATCTTCAAAGCTCAACCCCGTACTTTCCGCTCTCAGCCTCTCCGCTTGATCGGCCTTCCTGCGCTCTCTCACATACTGCGCTCTCGCATACTCCCGTCGCATACGGCCCACACCCTCGTTAAGGCCCGCCTTGACAGTCCTGATAGGGACAGCACTCCATGCCCCTCCTGCTCCGCCATAGCCGTTAGGAAGCCCCGGTATCTGTCTATCAGGGGGAGACTCGATGATCTCATGGAGGGCTGAGAGAAGGGGTTCTTTGAAAGAGACCGACATCTTCTCCATACTGTCATCCGAGGGTGACCGAGCTTCCACCTCGTGGCGAAAGTGCAACTTGTGTGTTCGCGCCTCAAGGTCCAATATCGACAGCGGCGAGTAGTCATCGATGGGCCTTGCCGAGTAGAATTCTGCTTGCCTGGACAAGTAGATAGAGTGGGGAAGGATGCGGGAGCTAGGACTATGTGTGCGTATCTCGGCAGCGGCTAGGCTTCCCATTCGGGAGGCCCGGCTTCTTCGCAAGCTAGCGCTTGGTCTGACAGACGCAAGGTTCAGAACGACTGGCTCGGGGGTGGCGCCGGGTAGCGACCAGCGCCCTCTGATATCCTTTTCAACTAGGAGATCGCAATGACCAGATGATCTGTTGCGCATCATGTCGGTAAGAGCGCTACTTCCCCTTTGCGAACGAGAAGAGCGGTGCCCTGCCTCTGCACCTATGTTGTTCGTCCCTTGAGACTGCTTGCGTGTGTGTAGCCTGGCGTACTCTAGGACACCCATCCTGGGTCGGTAAATGGCGAGATTGTCCGTGTACGAGACCTTCGAGGATGGCGAGGGGCCATGTGGCAGGAACGTAAAGACTGGTTGACCAGGTGAAGGCCTGGCAGCGCCTGTCGACCTATCTCCATTTGCCACGTCTCCCATGGGACGACCAGGACGCAAACGGGCGATAGGAGCCACCGGGGTAGATAGCGGGTACATCTGTTGAGGGTTGGTCACAGTATGGGACAGATGCGTGGCTGTTGAAGGTGGTCCACCGCAAGGATGGATGGGAAAGACATCTACAACCTTGTTAGTGCTCGTTGATTCCATTATAACGCGATACTCACGAACGGTCCCTTTACCAGTTCCGATACCAATCCATTTACCGCTCCTGTCCCATTGTATGTTTTCCGCAGCCGCAATCGTATGCCCGCGCTTCAGCTCGTAAAGATGCCACGTTTGGTTTTTCGTTTCCCGTCCGGCAATTGCATCTGTGATGCTCGCCGGGTGAAGCTCGACTATGTGGAATGACCGGCCATCGGTAGGGGCGACTAGCAGTTGTTCGCCGCAGCGCGAAAACGACAGTTGACTGATGGTAGGATACGAAGGACTGGGGGGGTGTGAAGGTTCGAGGGGCAAGCCAGAGGAAGGCGGCAGCCGGAAATGTGCAATCGTTCCCTCGGGCGCTTGACCTCTGGAAATACTGCCAGACAAGTTGTCGGGTCCGCGGCTGCCGTCTCTGGGGTACAGATCAATTACCTTGACCCAGTATCCATCGCCTGGGTTCAGTTCCGATCTTGCAACTTCCATCTGGGATTCGAGCACGCTCTCGCCATCCAGTGACTTGCTCTCCACGCCTTCAAAGTCCTCAATGCCATCTCCTAGATCAGCCGCTGTATTGACCGGAGCGCTCCTGGCCAGTCTATCATTACGGGATCGCGCTGCTGCGTCGCTTGCAGCCCTTGCACCCAGCTTGATCCCGGCCCATACGCCCCTCGCGACGCCACCTCCTATTTCTACCGCAGAGTTGAGTAATGCTCCCCCTTGCGCTCCATCGATTGGTGACCTGGACGACTGTGACAGCCTTTGTGACGGCTTTGCAGTAGAAATGGAAGAGGAAGTGACGAGGGTTCCCGCGGAGCGTGAGAAAGGAGCGGGAGGAGAAGATACGGCATGGGCAAGGAGCCGGCCAGAGATAGAGAATGCAGGAAGTTGGGTCTGTGGATTGGTTGGTAGATCGATAATGGCAGGGCGAGTAGATTCCAGCGACAGGGGGTCCAAAAAATGGAGTGAGGGGGTCGGGTGTGACGTGGCCTGTGGCGTCCTTAGTTTTCGTCCCACGTCTTCAATATTCACTTACCACCACAATGACTTTGGGAGATCCTTGTATGTCTGCCGCCGTCCCGTACCCCAGCTCAACTCTCTTTCTGGCTACTTCTGAGCCCAAATCCATCAGAACCAGCGCCAACGCGCTCTTCCTACCCGATGTCCGAGTGACTAACAGCACCCTCTGATGGTCCAGCATGAGCGCACTGAGTACTTTTTCACGGGACGCAGGAGCGGCATGCTTTGGAGCCGAAGACGATGCGGTGGGGGATTGCAAGGACGAGATGTGCGTCTTGGCTCCATATCTGATGGTTGGGATGACAAAGGCCTCTTCCGGCGGCCGAATCGGTTGTGAAGCTTGCGAGTCGGCGTGCGAAGAAGGGCGAGGGGCAGTGAATATCTGCAGAGCGTTTACCGAAGACATGACAAGTAGAAGAGGTCTGGCGAATATTGTCTGAGCTTCCTACCTCGTAACCGTCGACATGCCGACTCACCGGATGCCTTGGCCGTCTCCCAGATCACCCTCTTGCCACACGGCCTTCCCCGGCTCAGGCGCATCGGGCGAGTCATTGAACGAGCTGGGCTGGGCTGTAGGAGATGTAGGCAGGAACCCCTTGAGGTTTGGAATACTTGGCAGGGCAGAAAAGTGCGATACAATGGGGGACAAGAGGGAATGAGGCGGGTTGTCGCTGGAGAAGGCAAGATGGCAGAGGTCAGCAAGGCACAGGCCAGGAGGAGGGGGGACGCACACGGTGTCTACGGCTGCTCTCTAGGTCAGCGATCTGGCGGGCAGCGGTGGGCAACTCACGTATACCTAGTCTCCTGGGCGCAGGCCGGGGTCCGTGGATCGCGTGGCCATGGTCCGGCGAGGGCATGGGTGTGTCCTGGGCCTGGGTGTGCTGTGGGTAGGTGGCGGTGGAGGCGGCGGCAGGTGGAGCGGGATCAGAGATGCAGTACGTCCATCTATACCACTACTGCACTGTATCTCTCGCCACCCCCCGTCGGTCCCCCGCGTTATCTGCTCCCGGTATTTTACGTAACTGCCACCCTATCCAGCTATGCAGCCTAGCAGCAGCAGCACTCCTGCAATGTCCTCTGCACGCATACGCTGACGCGCCACGGCGGACGGGGCTGCATAGATACATGGCGTGGCGTGCCATCTGCATGGCATCTGCACGGCATGAGCATGTGGACGACACCAGATCATAGATCTGCGGTCAACGCGACGACCTCCACTCTGCGGCGATGCGCGCTTGCCTCTTTCTGGACAGTAGTGAGGGCCGCCCTGCCGTGGCTCGTGAGCATGCCATCGTCTGTCGTCTGTCGGCGGGGCCGGCGCGCACTGGCTGGGTAGCTGCGAAGGTTGGAAGAGGGATCGGGTCGCTAGGTGGCAGCCGCTGGTTGCGAGGGATCGAGGGAATGGCTGTTTTGGTCAGGAACGGCCAGGACGCCAGCCAGGGCTGGCGAAATATCAACAACGCCAAACGAACTCTCCTCTGCTGAGCTTATAATTACGCGCTCGCCCATGTTGCTGCATAGATGCATGCGCTGCCTCCTCTCCTCGCCTCGTTGGATCCGCCCCCGCTGGACCCGTCCCCGCCCTCGAGCTCGACCCCAGCAAGCGGCGGCGGCGGCAGGGCGCGGTGGTCTGTGCACGAACCGGGTGGGTGTGTGGGTCCGAGCTGTTGCTTTGTGCGCTTCCCATCCGGGCAATAAATGAATCTCCTTTCTCATTTCCATTTCCATCTCTTTCTCTTTTCTCTTTCTACCATCTACATCCTCTATCCACTTATATTCAACCCCACACTCTTTCACCTCTATAACAATGTCTGCCCAACCCACCACCGTGAGTCTATACCCTCCCCTTCCACTCTGCCCCTTCCTTCCCAGCCATTTTGGCCACTCGCAGCACCAGGCGAGCAGGGAAGAGGCAGTCCTCCGCCAGCTGCTGCCCATCTCTCCTCTCACCTGTCCTCATGGCCAGGACAGAGACTGTGGCACGCCACTCGTGGGGTATGTCAGCTGCCGCCGGAACCCAATTGGGGTGCTTTTCCTCAGCTGAGGGCCTGTGCATCAACATCGGTGCTCAAGCATCCGTGCATACCCTCTGCTATGGACACAGCGCGCCGTGGTCTCTGATCTATCCGGCTGTGCTCACACGACGTGCCGGTTGCTATGGGTCGCTCGCAACACCCGGTACGAGAAGCCCAGGTCGTTTGTCTCCCTCTTCGCTCGGTCCTTCCGACTAGCTTGCCCTCGCCACTGGCTTCCTGCATCCGCTCTCACTCTTCTCCCTCTCGCGCTTCGCAATCTCACTATCGAACGCTGCTGACCACATCTTGTCTTTTCGCCACTCCCTTTGTCAAACAACAACCAATTTGCCACTCCCGTGTCTACTTTGCTCAACGCGTCACACGACCACCCTTTGGTCTGCCTTCCTTCTGCTATGCCTTCGATCCGTCAACAACAGGAAGTTCCCCCCGCCGCCGACGTCCCCGCTGCCGAGGCCGTGCCTACTCCCCAAGAAGTCGAAGAGGCCCTCAAGACTGAGCCGCCTGCGACTGAGGAGGTTGCCGCTACCACTGTCACCGAGCCCCTTGCCGACGACGTGAGTGTTTTCACATTGTGTACTACAAGTGGCTGACTTTTTTCAGGTCAACAAGCAGCCTACCGTGACTCACGCCGAGGCTGGTAACGCTCACGTTGAGGAGGAGCCGGCTACCAAGGTTGACGGTACCCAGGCTGACAAGCCCGCCGAAACCGTCCCTGCTACCGAGGAGGCTGCCAAGCCCACCGAGACCAAGGAGGAGAAGAAGGACGACAAGAAGTCTGCCACCAAGGCAAGTCTCGTCATACTCTGCTAGTAGCTCAGCTGACTTTTACATAGGACAAGGCTGAGAAGGCCAAGGCTGAGGGTAAGGGATTCTTCGCAAAGCTCTTCGGAAACAAGGACAAGTCTCCCAAGAAGGAGAAGAAGAAGACCCCCAAGGTACATTCTTGGATGATCCCAGTATCTATAGCTGATACATTATTCAGACCGAGAAGGCCGACCCCGTTGCCACTGCTCCTACCGAGACCACCGAGCCTGCCCCTGCCGCCGCTGAGCCTACCCCCGCTCCTGCGCCCGAGCCTGAGGCCGCTCCTGTTGCTGAGCAGCCCAAGGTTGAGGAACCCAAGACCGAGGAACCCAAGGCCGCGTAAGTCACTGTTTTGTGGTTTCTGTCATTTGCCAACCGATCGTTTAGCGAGACTCCCGCTCCCGAGACTGAAGCAGCACCTGTTGCTGAGGAACCCCAGACCGCCGAGAAGAAGGAGGAAGTCGTAAGTCTGCAAACTTAACAAGATTTACCTGTTTTGACATCGTTCTAGTCCAAGCCAAACCTCAAGGCCCACCGAAGGCTGTCTGCTAGGATCGGCGACATCTTCAAGCCTAAGAAGTCTGGTTCCGCAAGTCCCACCAAGGAAGAGGCCCCCAAAGAAGACACCCCTGCCACTGTCTCCGAGGAGACTCCTGGTGTCGCTTCCGAGGCCCCTAAGCTTGAGGAACCTGCTGCGACTGAGCCTTTGAAGCTTGAGGAGGAGGTGAGATACTTGACCTTTTCCCATGCAAAACTCCATGCTGACTTTGTCTCCACAGCCCAAGGCTGCCACCGCCCCTGCTGCGGCTCCTGCTGTCGCTGCTTCTGCTTGAGCGTGATGCCCGTGTCATTGTTAATCCCTCTGTCTATATAATCACCTATCTTACCCCCCTAATGGAGCCCCTATACACTCCCTGGCTCATCCTCTGCGTTCTTCTTCCTTTTCGTTTCACTTTTGTCGATATACTAGATGCGTTGGCTCTTTGCTCCGTTGCGACGTGCTCTGTTTGGTGCTTGGTGTCGGTTTTGTGGGTCTTGCTGATGTGATTACGAACGTGATGATGCATCTACTATGAGCAGACCGGGCAGAATATCATTATGGCTTTAGAGCCTTCTCTCGCAGGTTCTCGGGCAACCATTCTATGGGAAAGCCACGAACGCCGCCGACAGAGGTTTGGCGAGGCAAAAACGTCTGGCCGGACGCCCATGTAAAGACATTCTGGCGTGATCGTTTCTTCTGGTGTCGCGCAAGAAGATGTCGAGTGTCCAGGGGGATATCGGAGGGCAAGGGAGAATTGGGGTCCTGAGATTGTAGCCCATCAGAATTGCCTCAGTTCAACATCTGCAGCACTCACACTAGCAGCCTCCACGAGTTTTTGCAGCGTCAGAGACGCCGACTTTTTGTTCTGGACAGAACTCTCAAATCTCTCCTCGCTGATCTTGAACCAGCCCTCCTTTCCCAGTGTGTCTTCGTCTTTGATGAATTCTTCTCGGCCTGGCCTTCCGGGCGACCATCTAGGGCCTGCAAGCAGCTTGAAGCGGTGAATTGCCTCAGGGCTCTTGAGGGGCAGAGACGACACGGGGACAGTGAGGGCGCATTTTGTGTGGAAGCGGGAATCAGGCTTGGAAAGATCTATGGTGGTTGTCATGCGGATTGGGGACGTGGGGGGTGTGAACTTTGTTTTGTTGGCAGCTGTTGAAGGGCATTAGGAGGGGCATCGAACAGTCAATCTCTGCCAACCACGTACCTCGCAGAACTTGTCTGTCCTGTTCAATCTTTTTCACAAGCCCCTCCCCTTCTTCGATCCTAAACATACGCATCCATCCGAGACTCGTGGCGTCATCGAAAGCGAACTTTGGGACTGCCCCGAGATCCCATGGTCTTGTACGCGCAGTGGATGACGGCGAAGGGGCGGGAGCCCTGGCGGAAAGGGAAGAACGGGTGGAAAAGAGACGGGCAGATTGCCTGGCAGCTTCTCTAGCTGTGCGTGCGGGGAGATGAATGGGCATGGCGAAAGGGCGGAAAGTGCATGAGAACCGAAAGACTTTCCGACAATAAAGTACAAACTGATGGGCGGGCGCGCCTATCTACGCTTTGATTTGCAGTTCTACTTTTAGGCGCATGAGGCGCGACTTGTTTTGTCATCGCTTTTGCAACGCTCTGCAAACCTACACCTACCTAATGCAGTCCTACTGCATATCATAAATACTGTCCAATATACTCTACAACGTGCATCTAATCAGGCGGCTCTACTCGGAGAATAGGCACACCAAGTCGATACTCGGCAGAATCTACACGTGTCCAGTTGGTGGCGGATAGGGCAGCTCACACGATGAAAAGGGCGTGGGTAAGCAGGGCCAGAGCAAGGCCAAATTTAAAGAAAGGTTATCGCGTCTCAAGTACTCGAGGAAAGAGCTGCGACAGACCGGCCCAGGCTGGAATCACAGGCAAGATCATCAACAAGTAGCACGGTCCTGGTGGTCGCATACCTCATGGCGTTGATCCAGTATAACCTCATCCTTATCTACCCTTTGCGACTCTTTCAGCACCCTTAGATACGAATGATGCTGCAAGGACCCCTTCATGGATCAACCATGAGGCTTCCAGAAGAGAGCTGTCGTTCGAAAGGCAATGAGACCATGAGAGAACGCAACCTGACTAGAAGGAACGTGATTGAAGTCTGTCACCAAAACTAGGATCCACAAGACCCATTTAATCTGTATGATATGGGCTGCCATATCGTCTGCATATCTTTCCAGAAAGGCCGACGCACAATGGCTTATTATTTTTCAGGACCTCAGGCGGCAGCTGCTATCGTGAGCATCTTCTACCAAGCTTTGCTCGTTTGTCTGCTTATTATTGCATGTGAGACGCATGGCCCTAAGAGATACATGATCAGTCTTCACTCTGGAGATTCCTTTTACTCATTTCAGGTGGCATTGGCTGATGGCTTATGGCGGATTGGACACTCAACTGGATCTCAAGGTATGTCTTTGACATCGATGGCTGCTGAGCTCATAGTGCGTAGTCACATACCACAGAGTAGGGGGCGATGATCAGAGACACCTCATAGTGTTTGAGAGTACCAATGGTTGGACAGCTAGCGCTACAGGTCTACTGGAATCTCTCTTGGGTCGCATAAGCAAATCATCCATCCAGTCGTATGATGATGGCTATGACTAAAACACACTCGTAGGGTCAGCTGTTGACAAAGTCAGCTTCCGCTCGTATAATGGTATCAGCCTCATAGGTTTCTCCTCACATTAATCAATGTCGCCTAGTAAAGTGAATGATATATATCCATTTCCCCAGCTCTTAGCCCCATTCGATCAAGTAGCAAGTATCGCTCTGCATAAGGTTCAGGTACTCGTATGATCTGCCTCGCTCGCGGGGAATGATGGTAGATCAGTCGGGCCCGGTGTGGGTGGCGTCTTCCGGAACACGGAAGAAGAAATGTCGCTGTGCAATCAGAGAATCGTGATGGCTCGAGGCATGGTGATCTGGCATGCATATTATGCATATGTGGCAGTGTTGAATGAGGGGTGTTACGTAAGCCCCTCTGGGATGGCCAAACAACTACTAACTACAACTGTGCGCGCTGTTCTCCTCTCTCACTAACCATTTCGCCATGGCGTCTGCCAATCCCATCACCTCGGCTGCCCCCAGCTCGAACCCCATTACCTCCGTCTCCCCCAACCCCTACGCCCATGCCCCCCTCTACCCCGCCACCCCCAACCCGCAGCTCCTCAGCCGCCTCAACCTCGACCTCAGAGGCACCATCTTCCCCGTCGACAGGGAGATGCTCATGCTGCTCCCAGAAAGCGTCCTCCTCGGCCTCTTTCCCCAGGGCCTCATACTGAGCAAGCCCGCCAGCTCGGAAGGAGCAGACGATGGTGTCTTTACTGTCGATGTGGGTCCAAGCACGTCCTTATGGTTTGAATGCTGACGAAAACATCCGCTGTAGTTCGACCCAGACTGCTTCCGGTACATCATCAGCTTCTGGGGAGATGCCCAGGCTTCTTTTTACGGCACCTCTTCTGCGCCCGGCCTCTTTGACGCGCAGCAAAGCATCCCAAGCATCGACCCCCTTTCGGACCACGCCCAGAACCCGCTCCTGTCCAAGCAAGCGATCATCGTCCTCCGCGAGGAGCTCGAGTACTTTTCCATAATCAAGTCTGGGTCATCAGCTCGGACAGACATCTCGTCGGGGCTGGCCAACGATGAGTTGAGGATATTGAAGAGAAATTGTGGAAAAGCCTTGGAGGAGAAGAAGGCCATCTTTGCTGCCTTGGAGAGAAACGTCAACAGCTCGGCAAACTTGGCTGAGAAACACCTTATCGATATGCTTTGCGTTAGGTACGTCATCTTGCAGCATGCCCGAGCCAGTCTGACGACGTGTAGTGGATTCAGCCGCGAGGATCAATGGGGGCACCGAGCTTGTGAGCCTGGGCGCAATGTCATTTCCTCCATGGCCCTGGTCCTCCTGAAAACAGGCATAAATCACCCAAAGGAGCCAAGCCAAGGGCCCCCTACAATCGATCCTGATCAGATGGGCACAGCCCAGAAGCTCTTACTCTTCTGGAGAAAGCCTGCGGTAAGTCCATAGTTGATTCCTCCGCGCGGGGCTAATGGGTCGCCGATTCAGCGAAAATGCTGGTGGGACTCTGTCGTAATTGAAGTGCCAACAGACATTGGAGCCAAATCGCCCTCGACAACCAGTGTCAGGGTGTGGGCAAGACGAGTATGGACTCTGGAATTGTCCCTTGTACGTTGGCCATTTATGTTTCTCTGATAGGTGACTGACGGTTGCGCAGATCTAGAAAAGATGTGTTGTATCATATATAACTCTCCTTGTAAAGAAATTTGGTCTCAATGCATGTTGCGGTAATCACATACGACAGGCTCGTGTCTAAGGGTTGACTCGAGAGTACCTTCTGTGCCCGGTACAGTGCATATATGTCGTGCGACGAGTCATGCGGGCCAATCTGACGTGGGCGAATAGCCGTTTGCACATACGTCCACATATTGTCTGGCGATAGATTTCGACCATCAAATCCGTACCGCTCCTGACCATCCACTCAATTCTAGACAGACACGGCGCGCAAGATCCAAATCCCATCCATGTGCATGAATCTACAACACTCCCAATGCTCGACTAGTGAGGCAAAGGCGTGACGACAGGCCTCTCGTATTGTCCAGGCTTGATAGTGCCCTCGTGGACGAGGTGGTCAAAGTGACCCTGTTTAGAGTTGAAGTATGAGTACTTGTTTTTGGCCCAGTAGTAGACGCCGTAGACTGGGGAAGCAAGAATCAGTCTCTCGTTTTCCTGGACGAGAGGTATACGCACAGAACATGAGGGGAGGAGCGATGTAAGGGAGTTGTTGCATGGTTCGCTTGGAGCCGTTGAAGATGAGGGATCGCATCAAACCATGCATGGGCTTCTGTCGGTAGGGGGAAAGACCTGTGGCGGAGATGAGCACTATTGTTGTGTCGAGAAAAGACACTCCACTTACCGTAGGTCTTGATACCCTTTTGTTTGGCACTTCCCATGTCACCCCACCAACCGATCTGCAGGACCACGTCGTCAGCACCCATTCTTTTATTCGATATGCCCATCTGTCGCGTCTCTCATAGGTCGGTTGCCGCTGCCTCTCCTCTTGCAGAATGGAGCGTCCCCTCAGCCTTCTGGGCCACTCTGTCCCCTGCCCTCGTGCACCTCCTGGGGCATCTCTAGACGATCGACGGCGGCCCGCAGGGTGTTTGAGGATTTTTGACGTCTTGACGAGGACCAGTAAAAACTCACGTAGGTTTTGGCTGGCAGGGGGGTCAGTATTTTCCAGCGTGCAGGGCAGCGGGGGGGACTTACGGCCGGGCATACCGGAGTGGGCGGGGGCGGAGGACCTCATGATGTTGGATGGATGAGAAAGATGGAGAGATGGCAGACGTTGTTCACGTCGTTGACGATGGCCAATGGGAGAGGCGGCGTTTTGGAAAACTCCGAGTGCGCGCTCAAGAGACGGCTCAGAGGCAGTCCTCATGCATCTCTTGCATCTCTTGCATCTCTCGTCATCCCCATGTCCCTCGCATCCACCATCCTCGGCTTCAGCGCCTTTGGCTTCGGCGCCAGGTGTCTCCAGCTCGGCATCCAGAAGAGGCCCCTCTTTGCCGGTGCGCGACCTCCTGCAGCCCCCCCGCGAATGCTAATCCTGTGTTAGGCTTCCATGGCCATGCCTATGCATCTATCGCCTTCGGTATCCTCGGCGCCGGTGCTTACGAGGCCGACAAGAAACAGTGCGTTCCCCTCTACATCCATACGCCGCGACTGACCCATCGCCTCCCTTCCCTCGTCCATTTCTCTCGATCGCCCTGTCATCACCTAGGCGGGCGCTCCTGGAAAAGAAGAAGGCTGTCCTTCTCGAACACCGTGAAGCTGAGAACAGGGAATGGGAAGCCCAAAAACAAGCACACGCCGTCTAGAAGAGGTCTGAGGGTGGAAGAAGAAGGATTCGGTTTTCTTTTCTGCATGCGAATGCAGTGTATTTCTAATGGGACACGAGATATATCAAGTGGGGCATCGAGCATGGGTGCAATACATTCGTGGCAACAGTTAGAGAGGCGTAGCGCAACTTCAGTGACGGCTCTTTTGCAACAATACGCGAGACTACCAGGAGTTGTAATCAGGGATACCATAATCTGCCCTCAGACATGCTGGCCAGATACTGCAAAGAGTCACACCTTTGACAAACTCATGTCGTGCCCAAGCATACAGTTACATGGATGCATGTGCCACATCTAATCAACCCGTCTTCCCTCCGTACAACTAAGGCTCCACTTCCGGCTCGAGATCACCAAAGGGTCGGCTCCGGAAATACGAGTCATCGAACCAGTGGACACGAACGAAACCGTCTTCAGCTCCGGAAGCGTAGGCTCGACCTTCGGGGTGCACAGCGAGGGTGTTGATAGGACCGCTGAAGATGATGTTAGAGAGATTCTCATCGCGGCAAACGAGACTCACAAATGGCCCTTGACACGACCGATCTCCTCTTCGAACAGCTTGTGGAAGAATCTTGATTCGAATTTACCAGCACGCTGAGAGGTGGTTGTAACGTTCATGGCATCTTGACCACCACCGAGGATAATCTGATCTTCTGTCAGAATCACCCTTTGCTCATGCAGACACTCACGTATGGTCTACCGGGGGTGATGACAGCACTGTTGACGGGGGTCTCGGTAGGGAACACCTTCATGACCTCGAGTGTCTTCAAATCCCACAACTAGGCATTGTCAGCATGCATTCCGTCTCGCCGTCACCTCAACTCACTCTCGCTGTCTTGTCCTTACTGGAACTGATGAAGTAGGTTCCGTCCGGGCTCAGTTGGATATCCGTAATAAGGCCAGAGTGCTCAGTCTCGACTGCCTGCACTTCTTCACCAGTCTTGACATCATACTTGGCGATCTTGCCAGACTCGTGACCAGTGACAATGTAGTCGGACAAGGGCGCCCAGATAGCAACAGTAGCTCGGGATCCAGTCAAGCGCATTTCACAGGTGGGTTCGGTGGGTTCTAAAAGACGTCAGAAACATACTCGAATATGAATGACCTTGGGAGCATACGAGAAGTGGGTTGATCTCGGTTGAATTTGAATATACGGATGACACTAGGCTGTCGGCTCCTTTCCTCCGTGACGCTCAAGAATTGAGAGTCGTCCTCGCTACAGTTCATGTCAGCTTCGGGAAGACTTTGCTAGTCGTACACGCGTACCTCCAAGCAACCCTCTTCACTGCCGTCAAAAACTCCCAAGTAAAGAGACACTCTCCGGTCTCAACCTCCCAAAGCTTCATCACGTTGTCGGCTCCGCCAGTCAAAAGGAATTTCGTTTGAGCTGCAAGCGTCAAAGGTCAGCCACGTTCTCTATCGTAGTCTGCCACCATCGACATCCTAGCTCGTCGACTGCCCCTCTGACTCTTTTGGACGTCATGCAGCAATCCCAAGAAAATGATGTGATTATAAAGAGCAGACTCACAGTCCACAGCGACAGTCCAGACCGCACCATTGTGCCCGACACCACCCTTGATTCCACCATACGTTCCGAGTCGTTCTCCATTTGAAGTGTACCAAGCATTGACGACATTGTCCTTGGAGGCGGAAAAGAGGATGTCGCCTTCGGCGTTGAAGGCGATCTGGTTGAGGGATCGTTCGTGTCCTGCAGCGGAAGTCAGTACGGCGGCGGTATGCACGGAAGGGTGGGCGGACCTTGGAGGATGATGGGTTTCTGTGCATGCGGTCAGCATATCGGCCTTGCATAAGAGGAGCGAGGGCACTCACCATTTTTGTCGTCTTTTGGCAGCCAAGCTTATAGAACAATACCAGTTGCGTCAAAATCGTCAAAATCGCGACCACCAGTGCCACCAACGGCATTTTCGGCGTTATATGTTCACTCTCTCTATTATATATGCTACAATACATGCATAATGATAGGGCTTGTGGACCGCGAGATATAGTGTACATGCATGTGTGCCAGCGAGCGGGTATAGAAACAGTACAAGCTTGCCCAATGAATAGAGACAAATGAATATATATGTAACGTAGTCTTAGAATCGTTGCTTCATTCTCGCGCCGACCGCCTTGAGATGAGCATAGACCTTGCCTTTGTCGGGTGTCAGCTGCTGGACCGGCTGGGAGCTGAGCGATGACATACCTGGAGGCGAACCGAGAATCAAAGAGACGATAGCATCACGAGCAATCTTGATGTTCTGGACTGATCCAAGGATATGGATGTGTCTGTATAGTTTGTCAGAATGCTGAACACCTCGCACCTTTGCCAAGCAGAAGAAGCCGGTAATCCACTCACGTGTCGGCCAAGACTATTCGTGTTCTGCTAGCATTCTCGATGGAGAACTTGACTTTGCCGCCCTCACCAGCTATACGACCTGAACAGAGTCAGATCACGTTTCAAGCTACAATTGCAGAAAATTAGGCGGGGCATGAACATACCGATAGCTCGAGCCAAGTGGTCGCCATGAAGGGTCTTGACATCTTTGATCTCGAAAGAATCCAGATAGAGGTCGTCCAATCTCAACAGGGCCAAAGCATCCTAACAAGAGCGCCACTGATCAGCAAATGGCCAGTACCTGCCCATGGAAACTTACGTTGACATCGAATCCTAAGGCGTAAGCCTTGAGGAAATCGGCACCTTTCTGAATAGCTCCGGAATCCACAGTGTGACCCGAGGTCTAAGCCGACGTCAATGAATTGCTGGCAGATATTGTGGGATGGCGTCACTAACCTTGATCTCAACGGCCCGCCTTTTCGTGTTCATCCTAACTTGCAGACCAAGCATTTCCACCATAGGAGTATACAAATTAACCCAGTCTCTCTTCAAGGGAGTCATTCGGTGCGGAGGAATGGGCACTCTTCTGAACTCGTTTTTTAGCACAGTAGATTGGGCGGCGGCACTGAGAGGGGCGAATCCCGAGGAAGACGCCTCGGCAGCGTCTGAGGGGCCGGCTGGAGCGGAGGCGTTGTCGATGAGGACATCTCCGTCATTGTCGACATCCACTGGTGTCGTTTCCGGCTTGCGGGTTTTCTGGGAGATGAGGGAGATGGTGGGCTGGGCCTCGAGCTGGGCCTGGAGGGCCTTGTGTCTGTGTGATTTGTGGGCCATGGCGGACAGAAAGAGGGTTGAGATGGAGATATATGGATGTATAGACGGCCACTGAAATCTTGAACTCGCAGATGTCCCAGGCACGCAGTAGAAAATTTCAGTTTACGGCTGTTACGTAACCCTCGACGCGTCGCTGTGATGTTGTTGGATTCTGGCGGTTGACTCATTTGCATCTCCATCTCTTTCTTTCTTTCTTTCTTTCTTTATTCTTCTATCACCCACCATGCCCCCCACCCCCACCGACAAGGGCTCCTCCCGCAACGCCGCAGCCCATCCCTACCAGCGTCCGGCCCCTTCCGCCCCAGCCCACGTGTCGCCCTCTACCTCCAAGGCCTCCAAGAAGAGCAAGAGGAAGGCCAAGCGGGAGAAGAAGGAATCAATCGTGTCTCAACCGACAGCGATTTCCGCCACATCCCTCGCCGCACCCTCGCCGGACAAGAAAAAGACTAAAAAGAAGAGAAAAAGTCATTCACGAGAGATGCAGCCCAGTGATGCGCCCCTTGCAGCCGTCGTCCCCGTACCACCTCAACCTGCCGCCAACGCTTCTTCGTGCCGCGACGCGGGTCCTTCTTCTACTGCGCCCAGTGTTCCCTCCAAAAAACCTGTTCTTGTCGACTCTCAAACCAATGTACCGGTCTCCGCTCCTGCCCAAACGATAGCGGGTGACCGGCCACAAAAGTCCAGTATAGACCGAGAGCTTGCGCGTATGCGAGAAGAAGCAAAGCAACGCGAGGCTTCCAGACTGGAGCTTTCTCGCGCTCGTGAGGAGATTGAACAATTGAAGATAGCGACAGAGGTGGCCAAGAAGCAACAAGAAGACATGCAGAGAAAGGTGGAAGAGCTTGAAAAGGCGGCTGCCCAGGGCGAGGAGCAGAAGAAAGCATTTGGTGGTGTCAGTAATACAGGCCTACTTGACTAACTGTCGCTGACATCCACGATAGGTCCTACAACGTTACGATGCCACCAAGAATGACCTTACGGAAGCCCTCTCCTGTAATGTCTGCTTTGATATCTACCGGGACCCCTACATGTTGGTCCACTACAATTGTCGTCCTCCGAGTACTGATCAATGTTACAGACTTTCGTGTGGACACATGGCTTGCAAAGATTGGTAGGTTGTCCCATTCGCCGCTCGAGTATTGTTGCTGAGATACTACAGCCTTCACCAGTGGTTCCGATCTTCAGCCTCGTTCCGTCAACCCCTCGTTTCTGGCGAAATCTCTTCTCTCAGTGACGTTTCCCACCGAACCAAGATTTGCCACATGTGCCGTTGCAACATCGTTCGTCGCCCCACCCGCGCGTTCTTCCTCCGCACTATCCTCGAGCCTCTCGGTCTTTATAACAACACTATTGAAGAGGGCAGCGGCAACCAGGCTGGGCCTTCCGATCCTTGGCACTTGACTTTTCCAGCCGATCCTGAGTCTCACAAGCTCTATGACGAGGCAGATGGCATTTGGCGATGTCCCGAGTGCCTCGGTGAAATTGCAGATGGGGCGTGTCTTGGTTGCGAATTGGAGTTTAGCGACAGCGAGGGAGACGAAGAGGATGAGGGAGATTGGGATCACGCGGACGGTCGGATCGCAAATATCATGAGCGATATGTTTGAGGGCGTCTATCGCCGGATGAACGAAAGTTTGAGGAATGAAGGAGATGCTGGAGACGAGAGCGACTCGTCCTCTGAATCATCTCATGCTTCGGAAAGGCCCATCAGGCAAAGCCCGCCACCCCGCGCCAACCCGTGGCTTGGGGGATCGGACCATGACGAACACTCAGGGTCCGAGGAAGACAGCTACGAGGATTCCTTCATTGATGACGATGAGCCGGAAGCTCTGAGTGGAGAGGACGATACCTTTTTGGATGATAGCTTTGTGGATGATGAGAGCGACGAGAGAATTTCAGCCAGAGGCGGGCCGCCTCCAAGGTACGCGAAACGGCTTGTCGAAAATGGTGTTGCTGACGGTCTGTTAGGGTGCAAACTATAGCCAGCGATACTGAAGATGAGAACGACCAGCCTGTCTTCATGGGGCGAGGGCGCAGGACGAACGGACGAGTAGTCATAGCTGACAGCGACAGCAGCAGCGAAGAAGAGGAATGATGGCACAGTGCCAGCATCCTTGGATTATGTAGCGAGCCACCATGTAAACCAACTGTACATAACGATACGACAAGCAGGCAAACAAGTGGCCAAACGCCGACTCCGCCGAAGACGGAGGTTGTTCGGATATATGGAGACCGGGGAACGGCCAGTCGCCGAGGAGCCATTTGTGACGATTCCTGTCTCGGATCTGTTAACGAGAGAATAATTCGCGTCAAGGTGGAGGCGCTTACATACCACCATGCCCAAACCCAATATATACCCTTCCCGATCCCTCGTCCCCCCAAACATAATATACACCATGGCCCCTAACAAGAACAACCAGATCGTCCTCAACGAGCGCCCCCAGAGAGGCCCCGTCACCGACACCACTTTCAGACCCAACGTCGCCGACGTTCCAGAGCCCAAGGACGGCGAAGTGGTGGTGCGCATCGACTATGCCAGTGTTGTGAGTATCCAAGGCCAGCATCAATGTACTCGTCAGTATACTCACGACCTACAGGACCCCACTATGCGAGGCTGGGTCGACGATGTGCGATCTTACCTTCCTCCTGTAGAAATTGGAGCTGCTATGCGTGCTCCCGGTCTTGGCACTGTCGTTGCTTCAAAGTCCGATGCTTTCAAGGTGGGCGACCTCGCGGTCGGCCTTCTCGGGTGGCAGGAGTACTACGTCGGACCTGCTGAGGGTCTCACCAAGAGAGTGTAAGTCACAAGTCTCCTAGACCGACCGGGCTGACGTTCCATTCTAGGACCCCCGAAGGCGGCAAAGACATTGACCACCTTGGTCTTTTCGGTATGACTGGTATGACAGCCTACGTCGTACGTAGCTCCAGTAATTGATTCTTGATCGAGGCTGATCTGCATTTTCTAGGGTATGTTTGAAATCGGCAAGGTCCAGGATGGCGACCATGTCCTCATCTCTGGCGCCGCTGGTGCGGTCGGCCAGGTGCGTTCTCTATAGCTGCAGTAGTGTGACCAGCGGCTGACACGTATCACGTCTGCTATAGACCGCCACTCAGATCGCCCTTGCCCATCCCAATTGCAAGGTCTCTGTCATCGCAGGCTCCAAGGAAAAGCTCGACTACCTGAAGAAGCTTGGTGCTCACAATGTCCTCAACTACAAGGACGCCGACTTCAAAGAGCAATTCCAAAAGATTGGAAACGTGGACGTGTACTTTGACAACGGTGAGTGTTCTTCATCAGGCGCCTATCGAGCATTGCTAAAGCTCTCCCAGTCGGCGGATCCATCCTTGATCTCACCCTCCGCCAGCTCAACCCTCACGCCAGAATCATTGGATGTGGTGCCATCTCTGCATACAAGTGGGTCACAGGTACTTGCGAGACTTGCACAGGAAGCTGATCGTCATCAGTGCCGAGAAGCCTGAGCCTATCTACAACTACTTCTGTCTCATCACCATGAAGGCCACATTCCGAGGCTTCATCGTATTGGAACACACCAACCTTTTCCCCGAGGGCATCGCCTACTTTGCCGACCTTGTCAAGAAGGGCAAGATGGAATTCAACTATCACGTCGTCGATGGCTTGGACAATGCCGTTACAGCTTTGAGGGAGATGTTCGATGGTAAGAACCTAGGCAAGACTGTGGTCAGGGTAAGCAAGGAGGCGGTCAGGCAAAGCAAGCTCTGAGGAGCATCATAAGCAATACAATGTGAGAACTGCATGTATCGGATCTTCATACGCGCCGCGTGTGCTAGAAACTGTGCTGATTCTTGCCCCACGTACCTATCTCCATTTGCATAAACTCTATTTCCAGAGGGCTCGTCATAATACTTTGTATGTTCACCCTTGACACGATTTCAGCTTTGAATCGACAGAATCGTCAATAGGCATTTCATGACTCTCTCTGCATGCCTATGAGATGCCCATGACGGCACGCTGTACAGCATCGAGCCACAAACAAGAAATCAAATGGGGCAGAAGCCAGGCCCATAGCGCACACCGTAGGTCATCCCTCTATGCCAGCGACGAATCTGAGACTGGATGTTGCATTTCGAGAAGCTCGAGCACCTCCTCTTCGTCCACCTCGTCCGTTTCTTGAAGATCCCAGACTTTCCCCTCTGTAGAGAAACCGAAAGATGTTTCCTGCGCGAGATCCTCGGTGAATACATTAAACATATCCGTGGCTTTGGACACATCCAGCTGCGTGCCTAAGCGAGAGGGGACTAGACGCAAGTAAGGTGGTACCAGACAATACCGGTTGCCCTGCCACGCTTGCATCGTTCAATCTCTCGGATGTCAGAGTGTGTGTTACCGACTTGACAGCCTTCGGGGCGACATCGTTCGAGACTCAGGCCCTCCGGTCTCTTTGAACGGACCCCTTGTGCGTCCTTGCAACGCCGATCCAATATTTGACATGGTGTGCCGGGATGAATTGGGGATGTCTTCATACTTGGGCGATCTCTTTGACGTTTAGGATGGCTGTCGACGTGTCGTTTCATGTTGTAGATAGTGAAATCTTGTTTGATGGGCGACAGATACCTATAGAAAGCATCTATTTCGCGAGTGACTGAATTACCGATCGATTCATGCTCGCCAGTAAAGACTACACTCAGATGTTCTCAAGATGTTCTGCATGTCTGCACGCCGCGGTTATGATAACAGCAGGGCGGCAAGGTCCGCCCCAGCCGAATAATGCCACCTCAGCTTCCTCCACGCTGCATGCTCCCCCCCAAATTTTGCATCTCTTTCCTCTTTCTCTTTTCTTTCTTTATAGCGTTTTACGCTGTGCGGCAGCGCGGGTACAACTTCCCCAAGTTGCTCCTCACTCCATATCAACAGTCGAGTCGAGCGTCAACCCCGTGCGAGAGCAAAGTTATCGAGGACGTCTTAGTTCCCTTCGTCTTCTCCCCCGTCAAGGGTGTCGTTCTGGTGAACGATGTGGGAAGTCGAGGGACGGTGGTCCATACATCCTTCTATACTATGCACTTCATTGTCCTTTACCTATCCGGATCCCGCTCATGTTGCCTTCTCATGTACATACAACACATGTGCGATAATGAAGCCCTTGCTGGTGTTACAAGCAGAAGGCGTTGAATGGTTGGTTGCATGGTGCATGAATCCTGTTGTATTATCATATGGCTATGATGGTCGTATCTTCTTATCAATGATCGAACTGCTTTGGGGCCGACGCTCCCGCTCCTCATCATCCCTCTTCTCTTAAACAGTCTGAGCGATCTGGTTCAACCTCTCGGCAAACTCGGGGTAGTTTTTGAGGAAGTGAATTTGAGCTTTACTAGCGTGTTCGTCTGATTATCATTAGTATCGCGTACACATGTTGGGTAAAGACTCACAAGTAATGGTGTTGATCAACTCGCCCTCGGTCCTGGCCAACTGAGCACTCTTCTCAAACCAGGTGATGGCATCAGTGATCTTGCCCTGCTGCAGACTCAACTGCGCAAGTGTCGCAACAGCCACATCACACTCAGGATCAATCTCAAGCGCCTTCTTGCAAAGCTCCTCAGCACCTGCCGCATCCTGCTTCCACTGGAAGAGAGCCAAAGCCTTGTTGACGAAAGGAAGGACGTTGCGAGGGGTTTTAGACTTGTCAAGGTCGATAGATTTGTCGAATCGCTCGAGCGATTCTTCAAACTTTTGCTGGTCCAGAAGAATTTCACCGCTGGGAATGTAATATCAGTGAACAATCCATTGAACTGACGTTAGACCCACTAATAGTTGCTAGGGTCGCCACGGTCAGGGAATTGCTTGAGGATTCGCCTGAAAGCGGCCATGCTAGCGCCGACATTACCCATCTTGTATTGGGCAACAGCGGACTGGATGTGGGAGAAAATGAAAGTGTCGTCAAGCTCAACCGACTTTGTGTAGTCGGACAGCGCTTTGTCAAACTCTTGGGTGATAAAGTAGACTACGAATGATTTAGCCCATGACTTGACGTAGCGGATGCTTACCTTGGCCTCGGTGGTAGTAGATATCGGGGTCGTTAGGGTTGTGACGGATGGCGGCCTCAAAGTCCCCGAAGGCTCCCGCGGGGTCACCAAGCTCCATGTGCACACTCGCAATTTTGACCCAACTCTGGACAAAGTCGGGCTTAAGATCCAAAGACTTTTGAAGATCCACTCGAGCACCCTCCGAGTCACCGATCAAGAATTTGAAAGTACCCCTCAGGTTGTACGCCTCCGCCTGGACCTCCTTGGTGCTGATGCCTTGTTCGATGGCCTCGTTGACATATGTCAAAGCATGGGGGTAGTCGGCAGCATCGAGAGCGTCGAAAGCCAATGAGAGAGTGTGGTCACCCTGAGAAGCGCTTTCCGGGATAGCAGGTCGGGCCCGTTCTCGGAAGGCGGACAGGTAGGCGCCAATGAAGGTAGGAGAGGGAAGCCTGTCTCCTCGGTTGGCCAAAATTTCGGCGGCACGCTTGGTCGCAAGCTTTTTCAGGCATCGCTCGACAGAGGCAGCAGCCTGTTCGTCGGCGAAACGCTCAATGATGCTGACCGCGGTAAAGTCCTGGACAGCCTCCTCGTTGCGGTCGAGGTTTTCGTAAGCGGTCGCTCGTCGCTTGAGGGCTTTGGTGTAGGTTCGGTCGAGCTTGACGGCCTCGGTACAGTCGAGCACACACTTTTCGTATTCGGGAGGAGTGAGGTTGCCGTAGCCTTCGCCAAGTCAGTCGTCATCATGCAAGAAAACCACAAGCGACCCACAAGCAGCTCGGTTGGAGTAGAAGACAGCAACCTTCTTGACCGAGATTTCAATGGCCTTGGTGTAGCACTCGATGGCCTTCTTGTAATCCTTCTTGGCGTAAAGCTTGTTTCCCCTGTCTTTGAGCGTTGCTCCGAGCTCGTCTCGCTTCGCGCCACTCATGTGCTCAATCTCGCTGTCGCTGGGAATTCCCGACAGGTGTCCGGGCTCCTTAGCGGGCTCCCTCTCTTCCAGAAGAGGTCCCTTGTCGCCATCATTCCTCACAAACTTTTCATCCTTCTTCTCGCCGCTCTTCTTCTTCTTCTTGTTCTTCTTTTTGGAGGCTGATTCGCCTCCCGCAGGTGACGAAGGACCGGGGGCGTCAGGCCGCGAGTAGAGGTAGTAGCCCGCACCAGTGGCGGCGAGGACGGCACAGCCGAGGAGGATGAGACGCTGGTTCTCCTCGACAAACTTTTGTGTCCGGCTGAGCAGCGAAGGCGGGGGGAGGGGGGCGGAGGGGGCCGGGATGGAGGGCGGCGGGGGGGTGGGGAGGGGCGACATCTTGGGTGGCAGGGCGAATGGGCGAAAAAAAAGACAACAACTGACCGATGACGATGATCGCGTCTCGGGGTTAGACGGAGCTTCAACTTTTGGCACTTTCTAATCCATTACACTTCGGGGCTAATGCGCCTCCTCTTCAGCATTGCTATTCATACAGTTCCTCTATGGCCCACGCTACTCTTCAATCTCCCCAACATGCTTGTACCTAAACAGGGCTCGCTCTCGCGCCTTCTTGTGGTCGACGATCGGCGCTGGGTATCCCAACTTGGCGAATTCTCTGGAGGACATGTGGTGGTAGGGATCATGGATCGCCTTACCCTTGATGTTCTTGAGCTCTGGAACCCAATGACGGATATAAGTCCCGTCGGGGTCGCACTTTTCCGACTGCGTGATGCTGTTGAATATCCTCTGCAACGATAGTCAGCAGGCGCAAGACACTGATGACCGACTCACAAAGTAAGGTTGAGGGTCAGTCCCGGTACTGGCCACCCATTGCCAACCACCGTTATTGGCAGCTAAATCCCCGTCTATGAAGCTCTTCATGAAATGGCGTTCTCCCAAGCCTAGACTGTGTCAGTGCAGCGGACCAAGCAGGCAAATGGGGCTCACGCCAATCCAACATGAGATCCTTGACCAGAAAGCACGCGGCCACCATCCGAACCCGATTCTCCATCCAACCTCGGGCGTTGCACGCTCGCATCGCCGCGTCGACTATAGGATAACCAGTCTTTCCGTCTTTCCAGGCTTGCAAGTCGGCCTCGGACGTTTCCCATTGTACGTCGGCGTATTTCTCCTGAAATGGCCTGCCCATGGAAACACGGGGTGAACTCGCCATGACCTAGCTCCGTTTCAGCCAACATGGTGTAGGTGTAGTCATAGTATTTCACTCACCTGGTTGTAGAAATCCCTCCAAGCAACTTCTTGCACCCACATGCCGACCCCCGTATCCCTCCCACTCTCCAACTTGCCACCCGGACAAAGCTTTTTCACGGTGTTCAAGACCTGACGTACGCTGATGACACCGCTCGCAAGATATGGACTGAGCTTTGAGCTATTATCACCGTCGACAAGATTCCTCCCCGTCGTATAATTCTGGACCCGGGCCTTTTTATCGTCTGGCTCAACCTTGGATGCCAAAGGAGAAGTATCTTGGAATTGGGACTTTTGGGCTTTGGTATGCAAGAATCGATCAAGAAACTGCGTTCCGTGAGTTTTGTCCGTCGTGCAAGCGCCGTACCTCTTTAGCAGCATCAATGCCTTCTGGCCATATTTCAGCCATAAAGTCCGCATCTTTGCACTCAAACTTGGCGATACTGTCCGGAACTTGGGTGTGGAAAAGCTGAGAGAATTGAGCATTCTCGCGGATGCTCGCGTCGTTGGCGTCGGGTAACGGTGACATGTCGAGATGTTGCGGTTCTTCTTCCAGTACCCTGGCCCATACTATACACTCGATCAACATGGAATTTTTTGCAATCGGCTCTATTCACCTCTCTGCCAGGGGCTGTAAACAGACATGGGCTTGCCTGCTTTCGTGAATATCTTGCCCGGCGGTACAGCGAGTCGATCATGATACATCTTTACCTCTGTACCATTCTCAGTGCCCAGCTCTACCGTCTTGATATCCCGAACGAGCTCGTCCACTTCGTACTCGATGTTGCCAAAAAGATGATGGGACGACAGTGATGGAAGGACGTTCTTGATGATTTGCCGGGGAATAGCTAGCCGCTTATCGCAAGACTTGATCACGAGCGGAATATCCAGATTGTCGAGTTGACGCTGTCCAAACCATATCAGTACACCAAGCATTGACCTATACACCGACATACCTGGACATAGCGAAGATTTCGAAGCATGAAATCGATCCGCCTTGAGCTCCTGTCATGCCATTCATAATCACCAGGGCTTATGACAAAGAGTGTAAGTAGGGGTACGCCGAGCGATTTGGCCTTTTCCGAAGCTCTTCGTAAGGCAGTATTGTCTTCGACTGAGACAGCATCAGTAGCAACTCGTTGAGCAAATCAAGCTCATACTGCGCATATCTTCCATCCTCATCCAATAGACCACACTCTCGCCCCTTTCAATGTTTTGGTTGCTGTCCGCCTGTACCTTGAGCGCCTGTTGCAGCCGGACCATAGGCGGACGCTCGTCCATCCTCGCAGCATCCTCCACCGTAGCTATTTTGCCCTCTTTCAGGAAGTATCAGCTGCATGCACATAGCCCCAGAGTTAGTGACACACTGATCTCGTACGCATTCTTGTGCTTTTTGGATTTTGGAAACGCGGCTCCGTTGCCATCGGGTGGAGATCGCTTGAGACCTCTACCCTCTCCAGTTTGTGCTTTTGCTCCGTTCTCGGACCCATTCAGACTCGCACGCCCATCATCCTTGATGTTCCGGCTGTGTTTGCTTGAAGCGGAAGTGCCAGTCGCGGGATTCTTCAGCCCCAATGTTTTCCCCTCTGTGTCGGTAGAGAGTGTGAGCTGTTGCTGTAGCATTGGCGGACGAAGGCGTGGTTGAGCGACAGATGTCAGCCGAGGTCGTACAATAGTTTGTAGTATAGGGCGTATATGACGATGAATCGTGGGCAGGTGGACTTGTCGCCGTATCTCGTGTCCAAAGAGTAAGAACTGCATACAACTTGGGGCGAATCAGTAGAGACAGGCGGCAAGGAGCGATGGACGCGATTCCAACGCGCCAAGATCGCGAGTTGATGAATGAGGAAGCAGTTGACGTCATCAGCCGACGAAATGAACGCCACTTTCGTGCTTTGAAAAAATCTCTCTTCGCCATGACTCATGCACTTGTGCCTTGCGAGGGCTCTCTTCATCTCGACTTTGGGCCCTGCCCTGAGCTCTGGGAGTCATTGGCTTGTCGGACACTGGTGTCAGGGCTCCCGGGGATTCATACGGTCAAGTATTTGCAGTCAGCAGGCAGCCTACAGTCTTTTAGCAGGCTCGCTCAGCAGGTGCAAAATTCTCGTTATGGCAGAGGTGGGACCCGAAATCATTCCGAAGAGGCAAGATGCAAAAGGAGACGACGTCCTTGATGATGGCATGTCTACGATCCCATTCTGCCGTGAATGACCTCTATTAGTCTGATACAGTAGAAATTGCATAAATTGGGATACCCGTACGAATACAGAAAGAAGCACGGCAAGGGGAGAAGGGTCGGCGGTAATTCTCAAGCATGTTTTGGCACATCTTGCTTATCAAAAGCCCCGCGGCGATGAGCAAGTAATGCCTAGACATTTTTCCCTGTCAACCCCTCTGCCATCGTCCCAGACATACCTGAGCAGCCGGCTGTAACCGCAACGACGGTGGCTGGGGAGGCACATCCTGTGGCCCGGCTGGCCGCCATCTCTACCCATACCCGATGAACCACTCTTCTCCATATCCATCCCCATGCTCACACGACTCTTCGGGTCTGCTCGATCACCTGTAAGAAGCTTGACTCACGTCGGCCCTCCGAGCCCAAGCAGATTTCATCATTTCCAGGGTCGAAATCTTTTTCACCACCATCCCATCCGTTTCTCGCGTCATCCACCGTCAAACGCTGCTCGCCCGTCTCTCCCTCCCCCCGACCCACGCCGACTTTCCCCACTCATCTCTCCTGCATGCCATCTGCGCTGTTGCGTCGCGCCATTCGGCCGTGGTATACCCGCGCTCAGAGCAGGAATACATTGCAAAAGTTGCAAAAGATGCCAAAGCTGCAAAGGGCAAGGGCATGGTGGGTGCTGTTCCAAAGGACGAGCTGGGTTTCTCAGACAGGCATGTGATGCATACATTTGCCGCCATCAAGCTCAGCCATGTCAATGCATGAGGACTTTTCGATATGCCGCAGGCTTCGGTATGTGTGAGCGCAACATGCGTCTGATGTGGCTGATACCTTGTAGATAATCATCGGCTATTCAGGTCAATCCCTCGCTCGGTGAGCTTGTTCACTAGCCATTGACAGAACACTGAACAAAATAGCTGGATGGACTGCTGGATCCTGGTCGGTACAGCCATACGACTGGCTATCTGTCTCGGGCTGCTCGATGCGGTATGTTCATGAGTCATGTATCAGTTCAAGTTGAATGTTGCCTGATCCAAGCAGATCTACCTCCCAGTGCGGATGGCTTTTTCCATTTCACCCAGTGCACAACACATACATTTCAAAGCCCAAAAAGTAATCATACAAAATCTCATCTATCGCGCCATCTCTTCGACACGGCCACCACAGTGACACTGATCAAGGCTACTAGATGAGAGAACCCGCAGAACGCCCATGTACGCCTCTTGGCGTGTCATGATGCCTGTCACACGGGTCCATGACCTCTAGCGATGCCCTCGTAGTAGTCGAAGTGAGTCGAAATGACTTGGGGACCATCAGAGGTAGCCAAGCAACGCCGGAGGACATGGACGCTTGTGCTCGTTCTGGAGAGACAACAATATTTGATCGACAGAGTATCTAAAGCTATGAAAGAATGTAGGTATTTATATCCAGCCTCAAGCCTATGTGTCCCTTCTCCATGACCTTCAAGTGTTTTCTACAGTGAACCAAGTGGCAAAGATGATTCTAGACGCTTCAGAGTATTTCTGGGTCGACAGCGTGACAATGCCACAGGTACAACACACCTTGTGGAGGATCACAATCATCTCCTCTAGCTTTCGCGCCTTTTCCGGGTCGACTTCGTCTTCCACTGGCCTCAGGGGGATCCACATACTTGTACTAAGCAGAGTCAGCGATGCCACAGGAGAAAAGAAGAAACTCACATGGTCATGCCAATGAGCCAGAGCAGAGGACACATGAAGATGAAGTCAACCCTGAAAAGGCGCAAAAGCTCGAGGAGATGATAGTGATTCTCTGCAAGGTGCGTTCTACCTGTGGCATGATGAGGCGGCTGGGTGGGGATCTCAGGGGTCTCGGGGATGGAGCTGTGCGGTGGGGTCGACAGAGATCATGTAGGCGGGCGGCTCAGGAGTCGAGGGGTAGAGCCGCTGGGAGTGCCTTCCGAGAGGTTGGAGAGCTCGATGGCAAACTCGTTGGCGGGGTAGGCGGGGGCTGGGGACTGGGGGTGGAAGACATGGTGCGGTGTGGTGATGGACGGGATGATGGCGGGATGGCTGCTTATATACATATCCCCCCACTTCCTCCACCCCCACGTCGCCATCACCCCACTCGATGCAGCACTTTTGGGCCAGGAGCACTGCTCGCCACGAGCCAACGCCCCCGCCATCTGGATGCATCTGGTTCTAGGCAGACAATACACAAGAGTAAACAGACTTCTAAACTCTGATCGCTCTGAAACACCCGCGCCGCTCTTCTTACGAGGCGCTTTTGCGTTTGTCACGGCCCCAGGCGACCAACGCCGAGATATTTAGCACCATGCGGCAACACAAAAAGCTTCCAACGATCCAAAATGCGCTATTACCAAACCGCCAAGGCAGTCGTTGTTTTCGGACAAGACACTCACCCATATCTATGCAATGCATCGCGTCGGAAGTCTTGAGAAGCAGCGCGAGCAGAAACATGAAACAAGCCGTAATATCGGCGTATTCGGTCCGGAGTGAGGGGCCCTTGAAAGCCGTTCGGCTTGGACATTCGGCATGGACAACCTGTCAACCTGCTAATCTTTTTCCTGATTCGGCGCCAGTTCAGCCTTTCAAGCATGCCATACGCTGTCAATGCATACATGCAAGATTCGATATTCCTGGCTCTTGGCCCTTGGTCACAGGCCTCCCAGGTGGGCCCGGCAAGAAGGCCGAATATGACCGACGGTATCACGGTGTCTACTTGTTGATGGATGGCCATGCGTGACAGGGAAGGATGGCAGCGCAGTCGGCAGAGGCACACTGTCTGCTACATACACACGAGGCAAGCCGAAAGAAGCAGGGGGCGCAAAAGAGGGCGGTTGCCGTAGTGTCGGCTGAAGCGATAGATGGGCCCAGTTACGGCAGGGGTGGGCTGACGCAAGAAATGGAACGGAATGGAAGGCAATAAAATAAGCTACGAGGCAGACTTGTCCTGTGCCCGCGGGCCTCTGTGCTGGCCCTGCTGGTGCTCCATTGGGAAGGAGGGATCAGATGCTTACATAAGCTGCGGGCAGAAGGTGCAGCGGCTGCAGAAATAGACGCAGCAGGGGGCTAAACGGGGTGGTGACGTCATGGCGTCTCGCGTATGCCATTGCCGCATCGGGAGGGGCTGAAAATTTGCAGCTGCCAAGGAGATCGGGCGCAGGGCTCAGGGTGCGGGGGAGGAATGCGGGGGACGCTAACGAGGAAAACAAACTCTTTTTTTCCGCCCCAGCAATATAAACACACAGACCCCGGCCCATCTCTCTCTCTTCCTCTTTTCCATCTGCACTCACCCCAGCCAGTGCCCCTCCACTTCCCTACTAACCTCCACCCATCTCCCCCCCAATGGCTACCACAGAGAAGGAACCCGTCGTCGGGTCTGGCAACATCGTCACCTATGGCGGCCTGCACGGCGACAAGCTCATGTACGCCATCGTCGCCATTGCGACCACCGGTTTCAGTCTCTTCGGTTACGACCAAGGTAGGCCTCATCTCATTCCGCGGGACTGTGCTGACCTGCCCCAGGTCTTATGTCAGGTATCATTGCCTCTGACCAGTTCAACTCGGAATTCCCCGCTGTACGTTTGTCCCATTCCGCCACGCATTCCGCTGACCCGTCGGAAGACCTACCAAGCCGACCCCAGCGATGTCCACGCCGGTACCGTCCAGGGTTCCGTCACTGCCTGTTACGAAGTCGGCTGTTTCTTTGGTGCTCTCGCCGCCTTCTTCATCGGTGAAAAGTTGGGTCGAAGAAAGATGATGTTTGGCGGTGCCATCGTCATGATTATCGGTACCATCATCTCTATCACTGCCTTCGGTCCCGGCGCTCCTAACGGAAACGTCGGTGGGTTCGTCCAATTCATCATCGGTCGTGTGGTCACTGGTCTCGGAAACGGTGCCAACACGGCTACCATTCCTTCCTGGGTCGCCGAGACCTCCAAGGCCCACAACCGTGGATTCCTTATCTGTATTGAGGCCTCTACCGTCGCTGTCGGTACCGTCATCGCCTACTGGATCGACTTTGGTCTCTCTTTCGTCGACGTAAGTGCTGCTGTACATTCCGCTCTAGACACAATTGACGCATTCCGCAGAGCTCGGTCGCTTGGCGATTCCCTACCGCTCTCCAGATCCTTTTCGCCCTCATCCTCATCGGTGGTGTCGCGGTTCTTCCGGAATCTCCCCGTTGGTTGCTCGCACACGGTCACGATCATGAGTGTCTCCGGGTGATGGCTGCTCTCGACTCCAAGTCTGAGGACGACCCCGTTGCTATTGCCGACAAGAACAAGGGTGAGTCTCTTATCTTTGGTAAAGCCGCAGGCTAACGTCATCCAGTCTCCGACGCCCTCGCTGCCCAGATTGCTGCCAAGGCCAACAGCTCAAAGGACATTCTCAAGGGTGGTAAGAACCAGCATTTCCGCCGTGCCATGGTTGGTGCCTCTACCCAGCTCTTCCAGCAGATCGGTGGTTGTAACGCGTACGTGTTTCAATTTCTCGCCTGTATAACGCTAAACGTCGTGCAGTGTCATCTACTACTCCACTGTTCTGTTCAAGAACCAGATTGGTCTTGAAAACACCCTTTCTTTGATCTTGGGTGGTGTCTTGTCTATTGTCTACGCCATGTTCGCCCTCACCTCCTTCTTCCTCGTTGAGCGTGTTGGCCGAGTCAAGCTTTTCCTCATCGGTACCGTCGGCCAGGCTGTCGCCATGTTTATCACTTTCGGCTGTCTCCTCCCCGGCGACGCTCAGAGCGCCAAGGGTGCCGCTTTCGGTCTCTACTTCTTCATCGCCTTCTTCGGCGCCACCTGGCTTCCCCTCCCCTGGCTCTACCCCGCTGAGCTCAACTCGATGTCGGTTAGGACCCAGGCCAACGCCATCTCCACCATGGTCAACTGGCTGTTCAACTTTACTGTCGTCCAGGTCTTGCCTACCATGACTGCATCCATCGGCGCCTACACCTTCTTGTTCTTTGGCGCTATGAACATTGTCTTCCTTCCCTTCATCTGGTTCTTCTACCCCGAGACCACCAACAGGTAAGTTTCAAAATTTTCCGCCATCTCTGTTGGATTGCTCTAACATCTTTTAGGTCTTTGGAGGAAATCGATGTCATCTTTGCCCATGCCCACATCCACAAGCGACGACCTACCCTCGTTGCCGAGGAGCTCCCCAAGCTCACCGACTTCCAAGTCCAAGAGTTGACCGACCGTTACGACATTCACGGTGGCGCTGCCGACACTGAGAACCCCTCCGCCTACGGTGCTGCCGCCAGCGGCGCCGACCACACCAGTGCTCTCCCCCCTGCCGAGCCCAAGGACCACCCCGACTACAATCCCGATGGCACCAGGCGAGCTTCCGCCGGCAGCGGCGAGCAGACTAGGGTTACAACCCCCAGCAACAACGCTGAGAAGCCCACGACCACCCCTCCCCAGGCTTAAGGGAGTCTGATTTTCCTTTTGTGTATAATGGATCTCTATTGGGCCTGGTGACGATCTTGTTGGTGTTGGATCAAAATAGATGTTTAATGAAAGAAGCCTCGAGTTCGGATTGCACGAATCGACTGCCTCGCACTGTAGCATTTAGAAGTTCGATGCATCTGCAGGGGTGCTTCGTAGATGGACTTTTTTCGATACAATTATAATTTGCTTGACATGTGATCCATCTCATCTTCTCGCGCATCGTATTCAAGGGCACAAAGTAGGGCAAGCAGAAAATCTACTGGAATTTGACGGCAGGCAAGTCGACCAACTTTGGTGGAGTACGCCTAGTCCTCGTCTGACGAAAAGTCCCAGGTCCGCTTCTTTGCTTTGCTACCGCCGCCTTGGCCGACCTTGCGGTATTGGCTGGGACACTCCTTGTTCTCATCGGTACTGTCCTTCGATGTATCGCGTGATGCCAGAGACGATTCCGCATCCGCATGAGGAAGGCTTTGCTGCGTCCCAGATGCATTTTGAGCTATACGGGAGCTATGTCGAGTTTGTCGGCGAGGTTCATCACCAGGCGAGAGAATGGGGGCGTGCTTGCCGGGTGCAGAGTCATCGAGAGGAAGTCTTGTGATAGTTGACAATTGAGCGGTGACGGGCTGTTTCTTCTTTTGAAGTCTGCCTTTCTTATGTGATTTCTTGTTGGAGACCATTTCTATCATAGGAGATGGGCTGAAGACGGCTTGGGGGTGTGAGAGAGCAGGCAGCGGAGGCTCCACCTCGTCAATTGACATGCGAGAGCGCCTTTGTCGAGTGTCTTGTCTATCGGAGGTTGCGCGAACAGGACCAGGTATGAATGCTTTTGGCCCAAAAATGTCAGCCAAGCTGTCGCCGACAAGAGGGCGATCATCAGCCAGGCTAGACTGGGAAGAGTCTTGTTGAGTCGAGGATCCACGAGAGGAAAGAGTGATACGGCCAATGTGACCTTCAGAGACAGGGGTCGTCATGACTGGCTGACTTTGATCTTGGCTGCTGGCAGGAAAACCAGGAAAGCTCGAGGTCAGGTATTGTCGCTGAGAGCTGGACGAGGCCAGGGGTAGTGCTGACAGGCGACCGAGCAGGAATCTTATCTCATTTTGTCCGGTCAGGATGAGTGTGAGACATTCGTGGATCTTCAGAGCGGTCGTAGCTTGGTTGGCGTCGCCAATGGCCTCTGAAGAGTATGGGGTGCGGTCCAAACAATGATGTAAGCCTTGAACACTCTGCTGTATAGACAGAAGGGCTTCGCGCGACTGGTGGGCTGTTGCCTCCATTTCCTCAGTGAGTTTGGGAAGGCAGTTC